CACGGGGCGAGCGACGACGTGGTTCCTCGGAATGGCTCGGCTGGCACGCCACGGAAAACACAGCCGACCATAAGCCTCGAATCCAATCTATGTCTCTATACCATTCCTATCCTGTTTCCATCCCATGGGCGGGTGGCGCCGCGCGCACGGTTCTAGCGGACTCTCGTCCTCTCCTCCCTCTCCTCCCTCCCTCCCTCCCTCCCCTCCCTCCCTCTCTCTCTCTCTCTCTCTCTCTCGGCTGCCTGTCTTTGTCGCGCTCAGGTGACACGGCCGGTGACACCGGTCCGCATTCTGCTATTCACCATTTTTAAAAGGACTCGAGAGGAGGAGAGGACGACGTCGTCGCGAAATGATGTTATTTGACAAACACGAGGATGATGACCCCCTCCAGGACACGTCCGGGACACCTCCAGGCCCCAGCCTCCAGGACACTGCCAGAACGCCACGCCCTGGTCGGCCCTGGTCGGCCCTGGCAACCTTGTCCTGTCTGTCCTCGGAGTCAATGCGGCCCGCCTGTCCGTCTAGTATCTGTCTATCTACTGTCGATCTGTCAGTCTAACTCGTCCTTATTCCCCGTCTATAAGACTCATCTAGCCCCCCTCTCTCTTTCTCTCCCTCTCTCGCACACACGCGCATGCCACACACACACACACACACACACACAGCTATTGTCCGCTGACGATGGGTCAGAATGACTGGGCCTATGCCCCGCGTTGCCCCGCATTGCCCCGCCATATACCGGCTTTGGACAGTCATTCCGATTAAAACCTCCCCTGCCAGGCAGTGTGCCGGCAGTGCCTGTGCAACACGTAAGGCGGCGTCCGAGACGAGGCAAAACGCGCAGTGCGCCTCTCATTTTTCGGAGGCCGCCCCAGCCGTGTAGGGACTATCCACATTAATTTTGACCTTTCTGGAAGCCCCCCCCCCTCCCCCGCCGCGGACGGGCTCTGCGGATGACCCCAAGCGGGGCCCTGCCTGCCGCCAGTGACTCCGAAGGATCGTCTCGTCGCTCCGTCTCTGTCGCACGCATGGGGCGCCGCGCAGCCGCGCAGGGGTGCGAGAGAGACAGAGAGACGGCTGGCTCCGTCCGTGACGACACCCGCTTTGGACGACGGTAAATCAGCAACGGCGGCGAAACCACGTGTGTGTGTGTGTGTGTGTGAGCAGCTCGACAGTGTTTTAGTGGAAACAGCACTGACCCCGCGCGTCCTAGCGCAGCGGTTCTCAACCTTCTTCGGCTCGCGACCCCAAATTTGTAGCCAAATAGCCTTGTTTTGGGAGCAGTATTAGCTCAAAGTTGATCAAAACGGTCAAAAATGCCTTTGAAAAATCGTGTTTTGGGCCGACTTTAAGCAGCCACTGCGTCTGATCCGAGGCGGTATTTCGTCCTCCCTCAGCGGGCAATTGGTCTTTGGACCTTCCTTTAGCATGCCTTTGTTACGGAGTGCAATTATCCGCCTTAGTTTGGGAGCAGTATTGCCGCAAAGTTGATCAAAACGGTCAAAAATGCCTTAAAAAGTCGGTTTTGATCAACTTCGAGACAATACTGCACCCGAACTAAGGTGGATAATCGCACTCCGTAACAAAGGCATGCTAAAGGAAGGCCCAAAGACCAAATGCCCGTTGAGAAAGTACGAAGGCCCGCCTCGGATCGGACGCAGTGGCTGCTTAAAGTCGGCCCAAAACGCGATTTTTCAAAGGCATTTTTGACGCCCCATGTGAGTGCGAGAGAGACAGAGCGGCAGTATGTACAGCCGGTGCGGTCGTTCGACGAACGAGGCGCCAGCGGAACGCATTTGACATTTGACCGACGGGTCTGCAGGTCTGCACACCGTGAAATTCGCGGCAGCAGGCGCGCTGCGCTCGTCCGCCCCGCCCCGGCCCCTCCTCCACACACAATGCATTCATAATAATCCCCCGTCTAAGTCTATCGGGTATTATACCCCAGCAGCCAGACCAGCCCCACTCGAGGACGTGAAATTACGACAGAACGGCCCTTTGTTCGGGGCGCACGCCGTCGTCGCTCTGTCTCTCTCGCTCCTACGGGACGCCCCGCGAGTGCGAGGGAGACAGCGAGACAACGCCACTGCGCTTTCGGAGACAGCCTGCAGGTAAGCAGTACGGGGCACCCCTTTTGTCCCCACCTTTCCTTTCCCCGTAACGGATGATATACTGCCGACTCGTCAGCAGCGCTGTCGGCAGAACCACTTGGTCCACTTGTTTTTGTCCGCGCAGTTCTTCTTTCTGCTTGCTGTTGTTCTTGATGTTGTTGAAGTAATTCTGCCGCTCCTTAGCAGCGTACTCGCGGCTCAATTGCTGATCTCGGTTGCATTTCCCCGAACGCACAGTGGGCCGGTGAAGACCGGTGGAGGCGGCCAAAACTCTAAACGCGTTTTTGAGCTCTGGAGTCCCCAACCGAACGTGTGACCCCACCCATGGATTCCTCGTTCGGAGAGCAATCCATTGGTGGGGTCACTTGTTCGGTTCGAGTCGCGTTTAGCGACTCGGGAGCTCAAAACGCGTCCGGGGTTTTGACCGCCACCGGAGCGGTGCGCGCGGGCGGTGGCAGCGACCCCCCCCCCCCCCCTCCTCCGCGGTGACACCGCGGGACGGCACCGCGCAGCCCTCGCCGTCGCTGGGCGGCTCGGCTCGGCCCTCGGGGGTCGAATGTCAACGAGGAAGGGGTGGAGGGCGAGAGAGACAGCGAGAGGGCGGCGAAGTGCCCCCTTTGCGAGACGTCGCCCACCAGGCTGCGTCCGAGGGCCGTCGCTGTCTCTCTCGCACCCACACGCAACGCCCCGTGAGTGCGAGAGAGACAGCGCGACGACTCTCGGAACGAGTCCGCCGCAGCGACTCCGTGTCCGCTCACTCCGTGCAGTGACAGCGCAAAGATCAAGGGCGATGGCGGCAGGCAAGGCGGCAGACTCATTCCGAGAGTCGTCGCTCTGTCTCGCTCGCACTCACGGGGCGTCCCGTGTGGGTGCGAGAGAGACAGAGCGACGAAAGCGACTCGCAGTGGCGCGGAAGCGAGCGCCGCCGTTCAATAACCAGTGTACCGCAAGCGCCGCACGGCCGCACGCAACACCACGCGCTTCCTGCAAGCTGGCTGGTCGCTGTCTCTCTCGCACTCACGGGGCGTCCCGCAGTGGTGCGACAGAGAAAGATTCCTTGGAACCGCCCCGCTACAGTGCCACCGCCGACCCCAAGCTGCAGCCGACCGCCCCTGCGCCCCTTCTGTTTTCCCGCCATTTCCCCTTCCCGCGGGAAAACATCGAAAAAGCAGCACCCCACTGTGAAGACAGCCATCGGCTGCGGTGGCGTGGCGACGAGCGTGTCCGTGCCCCGAACCAAAAGAGACTATTACAGGGCGCTGCGTCGCTCTGTCTCTCTCGCACTCGCGGGGCGTCCCGTGTCGGTGCAAGAGGGCGGTGCACTGCAGGTTGTCGGGGTCCCTCCACCAGTGCACCGCGCAGCACCGCCCCTACAGCGTGGCGACGTGCCGGCCGCGTCTCCGCCTGGATAATGCGTGATTCGACGGCCGCGGCACGCCGGCACGCCCCGTGTTTTACAACACGCTCCGTCTCTCTCGCGCCCCCACGGTGTGCGCGCGGTGCCACGGCCGCCACGGCGCGGCGCGCGCGTGCGAGAGAGACGGAGCGACGGCAGGTTCGGAATGAGCCCACAGGGCCGAGGGCGAGCACGTCTCGTACCTGTCCGAGTTCAATATTGGGGGCCCCGCCATCGCCCCGCCATCGCCCCGCGGCCCCCACGGCCCCACCCCGCGCCTCGCCATGGCGTGGACGTACAGTGCGGTGTTCCGAGAAAGTTCGGCGATGCACCATTCCCCACACGGACGACGCGGTGCTACGCGGTGCCAGCACACTCATTCCGGGAGTCGTTGTCGTCGCTCTGTCTCTCTCGCACCCATGAGAACGCCCCTTGAGTGCGAGAGAGACAGAGCGACGAAAACGACTCCCGGAGGCAGACTGCAGGCGACAGGCCGACACGGTGTAGTTGTGGTCCCACAGCGCAGGGCGTGCCAAGTCGAACCGCCAACGCGTACGCAAAAACATGTCAACGTGTTGACGAGTTGCTTTCGGACGGCGCCAGCCAACCGGCGAGGCACGAGGCTGACAGTTTTGAAGGTGTTGCTAATTCCCTTCTCAGAGGCCTGTTCGTGGTGGAAAAGCACGACCGAAGGTGTCCGAAGGTGCCGACTCCTGCCGCGAAAGGGTTCGGGGGGGTGCCAACAGCAAGGCAAGCAAGACGCGCTCCTTGTGGGCGAAGCAGGTGCAGTCGTGTCCACGTGTGCGCACGTGTGGGTGGACGGACGGACGGACGGACGGACGGCCAAGCGACCCCCGAAGGAGCGCCTCGCCTGTCTCTCTCGCACCCAGCCGGGGGCGCCGTGAGTGCGACAGAGCGCCGAGACGACGCTTCCGACTCGGCCTGCAGAGGGGTGGCGGCTCTCCACCACGGCTCCACCGCGTCCCGACAGGTGTCGATACTCCGTGGGGCGGGGCGGGAGCAGCTTTGGGCGCAGCGCCAGTCAAATGGGCCCTCTCAGGCGCGCGCACGCACACACACGCCACACACACACACACACACACACACACACACACACCACACACACACAGACGCACACAAACGTACGCATGCAAGGAAGGTGCAAGGTCAGTCGGCAAACAAGGACAGGGCGTGAGTGTGAGGCCTGCAGGCCTGCAGCTGGCTGCTTGGCTGCCTACCCACTCCGGCGGAAAGTCTTCGGCAAGCTGGAATAATGCACCGCTGTTGCGAAAGGCACAGCAACAAAAGCACGGGATGATAAGCGTGGCCATTAAGGCCGTGGACAACCACACGCACCAGCAGGCAACCAAACACTAGACGAGCTAGTAAGCCAGGGACGTCAAAAGCAGACAGTGGCAAAATCAAGCAGGATATATTTATTGACCGGCCGCAAAGCGCGTCCAAGTATTCGAAAAACTCGGAAAAGGACTTACATCCAGGGCAGGACGATGCACGGAAGGGTAATCCAAATGAGCCCCCATGGTTGGCACGTCACTCACACACGCGCACTTCGACACTGATTACGCATGACACGGGGGGAAAGTAACACACGGGCACGGCACTGGGAGATCACCTGTCACTTTGCCGAAGCGACTCTGGAGCGCTCACTGCGGCGCTGGAGGAAGGATCACACCGCGGCAACACGACACGCACACACACACACACACACTCCACTCAAGCACACGCGCGGTGGGAAGCCAGCGCGAGAAACCAGCGATTTCGAGTCAAATTGGGCAAAGGGACGCGGAGCAGACCGACGCACATCCACTCCACGCCGACCACGGGCACAAACAGTAGAAAAGCCGGCTCGGGCTCGCTGCCTTGCTTGCCTGCCCCTCGCCTCCGCTCCCTGCCGCTCCCTGCTCCCGTCCCGGCCCCTTCCCTGCCCTCCGCGCCTCCGACTCCCAACCGGTCGGGCGGGTGAGCGGGAGGGGAAGGGGGAGGGTAGGGAGCGCGCGGTGGGGCACGGCGCGGCGGGGGAGCCGGGGCACGGCGGGGCGCGCGCAGCTTCCAGAGTCTGCCGCCAGAGCGCAGCACAGCACGCGTGCCCCGTCGCTGCACGGCCGTCCGCGCGGCGTCTTGGCTCCCCGATGACCCCCCGCTGGACAAGGAGGGACTTCCAGCGCGCTCCCCCCCCCCTCCCCCCCCCCCGGGCTGCGGGGACAAGCCGTGAAGTCGTGAAGCCGCGAACCTCTAAACCCTGATTCCAAACATGAGCGAAGGGGTATTTCGAGCCACCAGTATGGGAGGTGTGTGTAGTGTAACGTCCCAGATTGGTCGAGGCTCCTCACTGGAGGACGAAAACCTCCTTTTCTGCAGCTTCTTAAACGCCGGCCAGGCCCGGATGCATGGAGGGCGGCGACGGGGGCATCCCCCTCTCCCCGAAAGGTAAGGAAAAAGTAGCACATTGCCCCTGTAGGTAGGCAACTGTTCCGACACCCCAGCCCCTTAGCCCGTTTCTGGATCCACGCCTGACGCCGGCAGGGTCGTCTTCGCAGTCCTGGGCAAACGAGTAGAGTAGCGTGATGAATTGTGGACCCTGAGACTAGGTGACAAAGGTGCCCAGTGCCCAGAAACTGGAAGACATTGACGGCGACAGGGGCGCGCAGTTTTAGGAGTTAAATTTGGAGTGTTGGCAACCTCTCATTCCCCTTGTACGTAGTGTGCGTAGGCAACCCGACCGGAATTCCCCCACCGCCTTGCTGAGGTACCCTGCCATTAGAGCCGCTTCTGCGGAAGGGTCGCCTCGGGGCGCCTCGGGGTCGCCTCCCGGAACAAACGGGAAGCCGACGCTAGGAGGCCCCGGGGAGTGCGAAGCTGCGCCGCAAACGACGCGACAAGTGTGAATTGCAATCTCGGTTTGTTTCCCTCGCGGCGCTGCGCCGCGCTGCGCCAAAGGCCCTTTGGGGCTTCCCTCTGCGTCGATGAATGCCAGCGAGTCTCATCAGGACTTCCGCCAGGCCGCCAGGATAACAACATAAGTATTGCCGGCTGTGCTGGCCGTCGGCTGGCCGCAAGCCCCGCGGGCGGACGGATGAATGGATGGATGGTTGGCAGCTGCAGGTGCATCTGCAGCAGCATCTCCAGGTGGGGGACGCCGTGCGCCTGCATGCAGTGCGCTGCCTACAGTGTGCCGCCGAGGCCCCTGGGCTTGGCCAGGACGCGGGCTTGGCTCGGCCTGGCTCGGCCTGCAAGGTCGCATTCTTGTTGGTGATGAGATCTGGGATGCCTTGGCTAGAGTTAGAGCCATGGCGAGGGAGTGGCGGCGCCTAGGTACGCCCAGGCTGTCGCGGAGCTCAAGGGTACGACCGAGCGACCCCCGGCCCCGGCGTCAAAGCCTGGCGCCCCTGGCCCTTTGTGCGCGTGCGGGATGCAGCCATTTCAGAAAACGCAATTGCGTTAACTTAAGTTTCACTAAATTCTGCCAGGTTGGTCGCCTTGAACCGCCGCTTTCTCAACGAAAAGTTGACTACCGACTTTCGACTTTTTCTACTAAAAGTCGACTTTCGACTTTTTCGACTAAAAGTCGACTTTCGACTTTTTCGACTAAAAGTCGACTTTCGACTTTTTCGACTAAAAGTCGACTTTCGACTTTTTCGACTAAAAGTCGACTTTCGACTTTTTCGACTAAAAGTCGACTTTCGACTAAAAGTCGACTTTCGACTAAAAGTCGACTTTCGACTAAAAGTCGACTTTCGACTAAAAGTCGACTTTCGACTAAAAGTCGACTTTCGACTAAAAGTCGATTTTCGACTAAAGTCGATTTTCGACTAAAAGTCGAATGAGGGACTTCCCCCTTCGCATGCGGGCGGGGCGTTCATGAAATAATGTATCGTCGAGATCTAACGAGTAAGATGCATTTTCCGCGGTCCGTTTGAATGGGGTACGCGGTGGCATTCCCTCCCCCAGCCAAGTGGCGTGATTTGCAAACAGGCTTGTCCTCGGCTACTCGGACAGGCCGGACAGGCACGTGGCGCGCTGCAGCCCGTTTGCCGGAGCCTGATGGAGATGGAGGTCTCCGGGTGCTTCGCCTGCTTCGCCGTGCTTCGCGCACCGCGCAGTGTGGTGGTCTTGGCGGCGAGGCGTCTGCCTGCACTTACTCGGTGCGTAACGCTAACGCCTGGCCGCCAGGCCGCCTCTTACGTGAACGCCGTCGTCCTCGACTCCTCTGCCGGCCTCTCTGTCTCTCTCGCTCCAGCGGCGTGGACCGGCTGCTGGAGCTGGCTGGAGCGGGGCGAGGAGGACGTTCGTCTCTCTGTCGGCGGCGCGGCCTTCGGCAGTCCATTCATTTACCGACTCATTCATTCTTTGCGGACTGCAGACTGATTCCGAACGAGTACCTCGTCTCTGTCTCTCTCGCACCGCTGGGGAACGCTCCGTGGTTGCGAGAGGGACAGAGCGACCACTGTTCGGAATGAGTCCGCTACGCCGCGTTTAGCCAGTTCGCTATGTTTTGCAGTGCTGCAGCATGCTGAGCCGAGCCGGTGGTGGCGTCATGCCGGTGTCTGTCATCCGTCTGCATTTATATTCTCGAGTCGTGAAGGTAGCTCTGATGTTTATCTTTGTTTGAATGGAAGGCGGGGGTGCTAGAAATAAAGGCATCGTTTTAATTTGCACAATGTTTTTGGTATTTTTATTAAAATTATCTTACACATTGGCCATTCATATGTATGTACACCTGCGGGGGATGGTGGTGGTAGATATTTGAATTTCCCGCCAATATCGACTTTGCCCCCCCCCCTTCCCCCCCTCAAGGTTGCCTAGCAACCAGCGGCTGAGGTCACCAACAACAAACACCTGTCAAACGTGGGTACACGGGACGGGACGGGGTGGGTACACAGTGTGCCAGTGACAGCTGATGCCACCCCCAAAAGGCTTGCATGTCTTGTCTTTCAAAAGGGTTGAACAAGATGAATCAATTCGACGATTGGCTTCAACATGCTCTCGAACAGCGACTAGGTTCTTTTGTCGAAGAAAAAATACTAGCCATTCAAAACTTGGATTCAAAAACATTGGACTCTCTTGGTGATGAGCTTGTGCATGTTGTTTGTCGTTCTCAAGAAATGTCAGAATTTAGAAACAATATCCTTCATCAGGACTGTGATGTATTGAGCCTGGATGGAGAGGACAATGCTGCCTATGACGGCAGTTTGAATGACACTGTAGCCCTCAGTGGATGCTCCAGCACCAATGTCACCCCACGAAAAGAGACAGGAGATGATGGCTTCACTATATCAGAGAGGCGTGCTAGGACTTCCTCTCAACGTAGCACCAACCAACGCATGCAAGCTTTAGAATTGTTGCTCAAGGTACCAATCAGTGACATTGTAGGCTCTGCAAATTGGCCTCACCTTCAACAAGAGTTGTGCGAGAGCCTTTGTGATGAAAATTGGAGCGTTTTTATGCAAGTTCTGAGAGTCCTCACAAGGCTTTCATCATCTTCTTTGTTTAGCCCTGTCAGAGAAGGGTTTCTCAGTGTACTAGAGGGGCTGACGTTGTACTACTTGACAAGAAATCTACACCAACAACTGCCATCGACCCTCCATGGAGTCCAACTTAAAAACCCAGTGCATAGAAGGATTGTTTTAACGTCACAATGTCTCTTACAAATTTTGAATGTTATTCCCGGAAAGTGGATTCGTTACGGAGAGAAGCGCACTCAAGAAATTGTTGACAATTTTGTTGACCTGCTTTCCATGCACACCCATCACCACAGAACTCTGACAGTGGATCATAGCAAGGACATACTTTATCCCTTCCACATGTTTTCCATTTTGGACCCAGAGGCAAAGTGGTGTGAGGGCATCATGCATGCAGCGTTTGGAAGAACCATTCTCATGAAGTGCGTAATGAAGTCATCAAGCCTCATAAGATTCATCGTGGAAGAAGTGATTATATGGTTGAAATGTCAAATGAAACTTTCAGAAGGCGTAACTCTTGTTCATGAATGTGGCACTAATGGAAATATAAATGGAAATATGATAAATTTGTCTGTTTTTGTTCATTGTGTCTCATTGCTTAAAATGTTTGTGAATTGTGAGCGAGGCCATTTGCTGTTCCCTGTTCTGACAAGCATTCAGGAGGAGGCAGTATCAATTTATAGCTTACTACTAAAAATTTTAGAATTTCTCAACAGGGTTGCCAGTGAACCCAATATGCATCACAGTGAAAGGATTCAGAAAATGTTGGAGAATGTTTGCGCCACTTTAATACTTAGTCGAGGAACTAGAATATTGCATGGGAGTAGTTTAGAGTTGATTCACCAACTCATGGAAGTACAAAATAGAACAGATCATTTTAGCCTTCATACGCACAATGTCAACATTTTGTACAAGATTTCAGAGTCACCAATAGCTATAAGGTGGATGTTAGGACGACCTGCCAGGAGAACACGTGATGGACTCTCACGTGCTTTCTCTGATCTTAGAGTATCGCTGTCCTCAGCAAGTAGCTCTGGGAGGGAGAGTGTCCTCACAAACCGTACTGCATGTGTGGCCAGGAAAATTGCCAAAGCAACCACAGTAGCAGTGAGAGATAGAAACCGGTTTACTTCGGAGTCTACCTCTCCAGCATCCATGCTTCTCTCTCTCAGTGAGAGGCTTTTCAGCACTCCTGAAGGATATCTTCTTTTGGAATCCTGTGAGAGCCAACTTATACCATTGGCTGGCCATCTTTTGATGCACATTAGAAATATGATGTACAATTCTGACCTAGGATTGCTATCCATGCAACAGTGAGTCATCACTAATATATTGTTTCCTTCTAATTTATAGTAATCTAGACTAATTACCATGTTTCTTCTTTTATTTCAGAAGTCTTGAATCATTCTTACTTGGCATGACACTAACACCCATGGGGTTCTTAGCAGTTTCTAGTGTGGAAAACCTTTTAAATTGTCTAGTTGCCTGTTATTTAGAAAGTCCCTTGACAAACAGATATAATGAGCCAATATTTTTGCATCTATTTCAACTCCTAACATCAGAGCCAAACTTGAAGCTGCAAGTCCATAGGAAAAATCTGATGAAACATGCATTGCTAGAGCTGTGGGCAGCACAGGAGTCTGTGTCTGGATGGGACTGGGAAGAAGCAAAAAATCGCTTTACGTCCATTGTTCTAGCTGTGTGTTCTACTCCCTCGGGTAACTATGCTGTTAGGTAAAAATGCTACCTAAATAGGTGTTTTAACTTGTTCTTTCATAAATCAGGCGAATTTTGTAGCTGTTGCAGATATGCTTGCACAATCAGACCCTGGCGATGATTCTAGTGAAAGCACCCTAGTTGAAGAAATTCAGCCATTATCCTTCAGAGAATTCTTTTTGAGTGGTCTGCAGTCAATGTGTGACACTAGCTCAGGTCAAATACAAGAAATATTTTTCAAAGTATTACATTTGCTGTCACACAATATTGACCTTGCTTTGCAATTACAAGAAAATCTCAACCTCTCAGTAAGAATGCAAAAATGGTGTAAAATATCCTTTAATTATATTTTTGTTCACCCATAAACCAGTTAACCATTTGTGAATCTCTAAGGACTGTCTTCAAAGAGTACTGAATGATGCTATGGTAAAAGAATCGTGCAATGAGCTTACTGTTCAACCATCACCTCGCAGGGATAAATCAAACACAAATATCATAGATGAAGATGCACGTACTTGCAGCCACATTCTGACCATCATTCATCAGGTAAAGTAGCAATTTTAGCAAAAGATATTTCCATGTATGACATGCTCAGCCTCTATTTCAAAATTTCCACAGCTCAGAGATCCATCTCCTTGCAACCTTTCCACATGGTTCAACTGTGGAGGGCCAAGAAGTCCTCGAACTGCTTATACTAGCAGGGCTCGAATTCAAACAGACTTGCAGAGATTCTTGCAAGACACACGACATGGTCTACATGACAATATGTGGATATCCCATGCTCGAAGAGCCTACCGGGCATCTTGTCGGAGTGACCTCAAGGTTTGCTGAGCTTTCTCTGAACTGCTGTAAGTTAAGCCTTGTCTACACCTAACACTTGGGAAAACTTTTTATTTAGGTGCCTGTGTTAATGGATTTATTAGACCAAGTGCTACAAACTCATCCAGCTCTATCAACCACCGATACAGCTCTCAAATGGCCAACAAGGAACGCATACCCTTCCCATTCTGAGCAGCATTTGCAAGCCATTGACACCGTCATCAGGTGGACGCTCTGCTTGAGCTAAATTACTTGTACATATACAATTGAATAACATGGAGGTTTTGGATTTCAGATTTGGTTGTCAGATTAAATCCCTCAATGCCAACATGATGAACACACATGCCGAACAGCTAGCTCTGCTCCTCCATCAAACTGAAATATTTTTGTCTCGACAAAAAACTGACAGCAATTTTGATTGGTTTGCGGCATCCGTGTTCCTCATGTGTGCTGGCAATGTCGACAGGTAAGTCGTAGATGATTTCAAAATTTGATATATGCTTGATACGAAGCATTCCTTTCTCTCCTTTTTCAGAAGCAGAAGTGTTCTGCAGAGAGTGGCCATGCTACCAAATGGATCATTCATCTGGCCCATGTTATCACAGAACACCACACAACTGGCAGCATCCATCAACCAACATTTACAAGGGCTTCTAGCAGAATTTTTGCCTAAAGCTTACCATGCCCTGCAGGTAGTTCAAAAACATATTCACCCTTTGACTCCCATCATTATCAAAAGTAACTGTCCTCAAAATGGTTTCAGGGAGCAGGCATCCCATGGTGGCTTGTTGCAGAGAGGCTCACTCAGCAAGCTTTCATGCCATCTATTCCTCTAGCGCAACTGCCGCACATGCTGGCAATAACAGCATTACACTCTTGGGAGTATAACTTGTACATGCAGGCAGCCATTCTGGCACACATACAGCCAGCTGTTTTGGAAATATCACCACCAAAATCAATTCCGTCACTCCTTATGGTAAGAATGTCCATAGATGAAGCAAATTCCAAGTGGCACGCATGCCTAGGCCAGTGAGCAAAACTTCTTTTTGCTGTTATCTAGGATCTGAAGCTGGACAACTTTTACCTGGGGGATTATATACCATTTATGGATAAATTAGCAAAATTGAACCGCCCATACCTTGTGAGAGATCGCATCGCAACAGCAACAATATGAATGTTCTTTAGCCCTAGAAAAGAAGTACTAATTAAAAAGTTTTTTTTAGAAATCTGAGGTTATGAAACTGCCTGATTCTGGAGGAAAAAGATAAAAGTATCCATGAACAGTTACTGTAAACTTCATTCTAATGATACACAACATACAACAAACAACATGGCATCCCAGGGTCGGGCCTGACAATAGTTTCAGACAAAAAGGAGTACAAAGTATGCACCTGGGAATCACACACATACACATGATAACAAAAAAGTAATGAATGGAATAAAACTGAGTAAATGCCCCATTTGACAGTTGCTTCAAATGTATCACATGAAAAATAATCTGAGCTTAACTAAAAAAAATTTACAGGTAAATACAGGAGTCAACAAAGCCACAAACAGGCAATGTTCAGCCAATTCCACAAAAAAACAATTTTTATGCACTATTCATCAAAAATATGGAATAATTTTGCTACTTCATTCAAGTCGTCATATTTTTTATCATCTTTCAGAACCTGAAAAGTACAGAAAACAAAATTGAAGCACTTTTTGGATTGGACATGCGCAAAATATTGGAAATATGACAATGACCTCAGCAGAAAAAAAGCAAATCTCCTTACCTGTCTTGCCACTGTCATTCTACGGAACACATTCCAAAGCACAATGCCCACAACCATATTGTCTCTTAAGTAGAAAATTACACCTTTTCCATATTCATCTGGGGGTAATGTTTGATCTTTGCTTGCAGCAGGCTGATTTTGACTAGTAGATACACTGCTAGGCTTGTATTGACTATTCTGTTCCATCCAAAAAAGAAAACCAGAAAAAATATTAAAAAAAGCTTTGAAAAATAAAAAATTAACCAAGATACAACACTTACAGCTTCCACATTTGATCGAATATTGTCATTGGATTCAGCCACCACTGCTTTGGGACTGTCCTTATCAGAGCCCTTAGCAAATACTGCTACAGTAGGTAAAGAAGAGTCAACAATTCCAATGGCTTCAAAGCCAACATCAGGTCCCAGATCAGACCAGAACATGGATTGGTGTAAGTATGGTTTACCTAGACATTCAAATTAGAATTGTTTAAGTTAAAGAACATATGCTACACAACATGGTGACTTAAATGTTACTGGGAAAAAAGATCTAGTACCTGCTCCAACCATATTTTCACCAGCAAGTCTTCCGGATATGACAGCATGATCATGGTGTTCAACACGCCTTCGACCAAATTTGACATCATAGAAACAAGAACAGTCACCTGCCTGCAAGTCCAATGAAAAATCGAGATAAAGGATTTCCAATAAGTAATTGTTCAATCCCATGATAAAATTTCTCTACTTACAGCATACAGATTTGAGCGAGCTTCAAGCTCAGCATTGACAAGGTATCCTCCACAATGTGGTTCCACTTCTAGTCCTGAGTTTTCTGCTAAGTCCGTATTGGGATCCACTCCAACAGCAACAATTACTTTATTTGCTAATATCTAATTTTTATTTTTAAAATAATATAACAGTTAGTTCTGGAAATAATTTCAAATACTTCAAAAACTTCAAATACATAAGGTTAGGAAACAAAATGTACCTGTTTTCCATCACTTAGCATCAAGCTGACTGCTTTTCCCTCTAACTTCACATCCTGTACTTCACTGTTGGATATTACTTCAACTCCTTCATTGGCAACCTTGCCTGTGGTCCATAGACTTAAATATTCGGGTAGAATTTTGTGCATATTTCCTGGCTCCTTAAATATTTGGTAAACTTTTATGTTTGCATTCTCTACTTTAGCTGTCAAAAAAAAAAAATCTCTTGTAAGTAACTTAAAATGCACCAAAGATAAATTCTTACAAATTATTCTGCTTTTTCATTCACCTCTTCGGGCCAGGGCACAAGCCATTTCACTGCCAAGGAATCCTCCACCAATAATGGCGATAGATTCAGTTTCTTTGATGATATCATTCAGCTCAACATAATCAGGGATTCCTCGGAATGTGGAAACATGCTTTTGAATTGACGCAGGGGCTTTTGAAAACACATCCAATGTTTTAGGTTTCGCACCTGTTAAGAAAAGAAAGCATTCAATGCATTAAAAGTTGAACACTTACATTTCCATTAAGCTTAAATTGTTAAAAATAAAATTACCGGTGGCAAGTAGACACTTTTCATATTTTATTTCATGACCACCTTCGAGGTAGGCAATTTTTTTGTAAGGGTCTATCCTCTCTACCTTCCAGCCTCGAGCAACAGCAACTCCTCCATTGGGATTCTCATCTAATGCTTTGGGAGATATGTAAAAGTCTTCCGGTTCATAAAACAAGCTGAAACATGAGGATTTCAAAATTATTTTATTATTATTTTGGTTATCAAAACTAAAATTAAGGCAAAAGTGATCGACGGAGGAAATCAACAACACAAGGATTACCTTTTTTCTGAACCATTCCATTGCTGGAATGTTAGCGGATCTTTCTTCTCTGAATCAGGGACAAACCAAACTTCTTTGGAAAGTGGTGGACGCATGTAAGGCAGTAGGCTTTCATTACTAACTATGAGAACCTGGTGGAAAACATTTCCAAACCAATGAGTTTAGACCAAACAAAATCAGCAAGGTCATGCACAATAATTACTATGAGGAGGAATAGAGAATACTCCAACACTGGGTTACCTTGGCCTTAGCATCAAGGGACTTGATGGCCCGAAATGCAGAAAAACTTGCAGTACCTCCACCAATCAACAAATAAGGGACACTGCTTGGTATTTCACTGGCAGTAGCAGGAATTTTCACTGGAGCTATTTTAGCTGGAAATACATGAGAGTAATTGAAAAGTTTCTTTGCAGTTATGGAGTAAAAATATGGGGCTTAACTGGGACTCACCTGATTTTTTGGAAGTTTTGACTTCTTGCTTTGTCTTTTCTTCAGGTTGTAACTTCCAAACCTAAAAAAAAAAAAAAAAAAAAAAAAAAAAGTGTCAAGGGTGAACTTATGCAACACTATCCAAATCCAAATGAGTCAGTGATTAGTGATCATCAGCTTACTGCATAAAATGTGCCAGCTGTCAAGAGAAGTGCTGCTAGAATACGTTTGTTGTTCTTTCTGGCGCGAGCTGCAGCACTCTCTTCATAAGCACAATTCGGTTGTTCACTGACTGGATTTGGTCTGCTGCAGCTCTGAAGTTCAGGCTTCAATTTTGGTGGCTGGCACTCTTTGTAAGGCGTTGTGTTGCAGCTACCCCTACGAAAAAAAAAAAAAACAGAAAAAAAGGATACCTCATGGCCAATAATTTAATTTTGAAATGCCAAGGGATAACATTTAGTTTAAATGGCGTACTTGTTATCTACAGGAGGCTTGCAAGTGGCAGCTGATGGAGTGATTCTCGATGTTGGAGTCCCTGGACCCTCACTTCCATTTTTGGTTTTCTTCGCATAGCATCGACTAAATTTGGAAAGGGAATCTGTTCTGACTAAACAAAAAAGACAAACAAGAAAATGAAGACACCGTACAGACAGAACTTCTAGATGATGTAGAATAACAAAAATGAAGTAAATACAGAAGACAAGACAAGAGACTAGATGGCACGGGAAATGAACAAAACAAATAAGTTCGTTTTCAAGATTGCTACTGCCTTGCTGAGAAAATAATTTCAAAAGAGAAACCAAGACGACGATGATAATGATGAAACAGTCCGAAACATAACCTACTGATTGAGAGGTTAGATTCTAGCAGACAGCCTTTAAAGGTCGAAATTGAATGGAACTTGCAGTGAATGGTAATGAAACAAAACTTAATTGTCATGACATCATGTTCACAGGTTAATCAGAAGCGTGACTATATGAAAACAAAGGTTAATTTCGATTTACATTCTATTAGGAGCATTTCTTCTTACCTAGAATATGAGACGGTGGACCTAAATGACAGGCTTGACGGTGGAAGTTATTGAGAAGAGAAAGGATGCTCCTATGACGCAACATTCTTGTTTTCGCGATTCACTGTGAGAATATTGGAAAAAAATAGCACTGTTTACTAGAAGCCGAAATTAAGGTTTCCTTGGATCTCCAGAAACAATGTGAATGAAATGTGCGGACACACTCGTTTGTTGTGGTATGAAAAACTAGGTCGGCGCTCGACACGTAACGGCGCGCGACATTTGAATCCGAACCAAGCCGTCCCAGTACTTTTCTGTTGATGAAGCTCGATTACTAAAGTGGAATCTGTTTCGGCACGTTCTGGTTGAAAAGATTGGCAAAATATCCACGGTATACGACGAGTCATGAGAATAAATAAGGAATAATAATGAATAACACTTATAATATAATAATACTTGTTTTAACCATTCAAAATTCTTCACTGTTCGAAAAATTCCATTTTCCCCGTTCTTCAGCCCAAAAAGAAGCCATAAAAGATAAAATGCGGAAAAACAGAAGCGCGTTTAGCAGAAACCACTCCCGCAAAGTTTCAAAACAAACAAAGAAAACTCTTCTGCTAGCTTCTGACCAACACAACAACATCAGCTGTACGCTAAAATAATAAAATGACGACTGTCAAAAGTGAAATAGTTAGATATTTCATCTCAGAGGGAAGAAAGATCAAATTTTTTGTCATCGGGGACGGTGGCATTGAAATCATTACGTGATTAATGAACGCGTGACGTTACGTTCCTAGGGAAGGCAGGTGTCCAGCAGCAGCGCAGCAGTGGCAGCAGCAGCAGCTGTACAGACGGGACGGGACACGGGACGGCAGATGGCTGGGCCTAGAACTATCGGCTGATTCCGTTTAATTCATCCGGACTTACCTTCTCGCCCCACCTAGTTACCCCGCTCGTTTAACCATGGTCAAGTTCTATGAAAGTAGCACCGTTTTCCAGTATAACTGGCATCAAGTTGCCCAGGCATTTTGGCAGCGTTACCCTAACCCCCACAGGCAAGTTTCCGTCCAAATCAATTTTGTACCAAATTTCGAAGTTTGTATGAAACACTTCTATGTTAGAAATTATGAAAAAAAGGGACATCTGTTTTCAACTACGTGTCTTCGAATCCGTCTTTTATCCAAATTTTCTGTGAAGCTAATTAAATGATCAAAGGTCACATTTTAATCTTGTCCTGTACCTTTGTTTCTGGCTTTTAGTTCTCATGTTCTCAGTGAAGACACAGTCTTCCGAGAAGTGAGAGACAACAAGCTCTTCACGAAAAGACTTCTCACTAAAACCAACCGAGTTCCCAAATGGGGTGAACGGTTCATCAACAATCCCAAGGTTGGAATTATTGAAGAGTCAGTGGTCGACCCCAAAACTAGAACTCTTACAACTTATACACGAAATGTGGGCTACACGAAAGTCATGGTAAGTTCTGTGGTTATTTTTTTCTGAACTTAGCAGTCGAATAGTTCTTGGTATTTCTGTTCATTAACAAGATGTATTTTCAACTTTTACAGTCTGTTGTCGAGAAAGTGGTTTACCGAGAGAGTGATGACAATCCTAATTGCACCATTGCTGTACGTTCTGGATGGGTTGACTCCCAAGTGTTTGGCTTTAAACATGCTATTCAAGCATTTGGTGTTGAAAGGTTCAGAAAAAACTGCCAGCAGATGATTCTGGGATTTAACCATGTTCTAAGTCACTTGTACCCAAAACATGGGCAACATGAAACCAATGTTTCCTCTGAAAAGTCATCCGTGCAGGAAGCAAAGGATAAATTAAAAAGTGCTGCCAAGAGGGCTTCAGACCTCGTAATGCCAAAGGCAAATGTAATGGTTGCATCTTGTCAAGATTAAATTCCGGGCTGAATTCCATCTGGTTTGAACTTTGAAGTTAAGATTCCTTTCTATGAAGCAGATGTAAGAGTGATTCTTTACATAAGCTTACCTTTTATACCGTTTGATCTTCAAGTCTTACAAAATGTGATCTAAAATTCAACACAAATGTTGTGTTGACGCAATTGTTTCTAAGAGGTTCTGCAGTTTCAAAGAGAACAGAACAATTGCATGTACAGGGTATAAAATTGAGAGGAAAAGATGCCTTTTGTCCTGGGTTGTACTATACCACACTCATTCAAAAGTGGAATGTAAAAATGGTTACCATAATTTTGTATTGTTGCCATTATTTTGTCTCTCAGCTTCAAGTAACTCATATTCCTTGAAATAACTGTCAGTATTTTGGCGAATCTTGAGTTGGTGAAGCTTTGAAAGAAGATTTCTTTGTTTCTGTTTTTGTTAATATCTGTGATTCCTCTTTTCTTTTCTTGGAAGGTTTGATAGTTTGAGGTTTGAGTTCAGTTTAAATCATCTTTACCATCCATATTTTTTGTCTTTTTGGAGGGATGATTGATGTGTTTGGATGGGGTGATTTGACGAGTTTTACTGTTTCGGTAAATTGTGTGGGGCATTGATTGTATCTTTTGTTTTTCTTCGACATATTCCTTATTGTAGTTTGAAGATTTAGGTGTTTTACTACCTCTTTATGTCTTTGTCACTTGACATCTTTATTTTCATACATTTTTGTGTATTATGGGTTTCCTCCCAAATACTGTTGTACCCTTTCATTTCTTTCACTGGGCTCTAGATTGTTAAGGCTAAGAACAAGACATTAAATTTTCGTATCTTTTTTTTATTTGGTAAGACCTTTAGTGGTTCTTATCTTGTTTCCTAAAGCTTCCTGTAATTGTTGATTCAAGCCTCATATGTTTTTATCTCCCTTTCAATAGACTTTCAAATTTGTTGAAGAATTTTTACTATTACAAAGTTTTCACTTCAATCAGTAGCAGCTGTATTTTTACACTGCCACTAATGTGTGTATTGTAAAAGATGTATTGTAAGCTTGATTGTAAGTGTCAGGTGAAATGGGTGATCTTTGACGTGCACCATTGTGGCTTAGTCAGTATGTATGTAATGTAATTCGTACACTATTCAATAGTAGATGGATTTCATAGACAATCATTCCTGGACATGTGATTCACCAGGGAGTACAATAAATAGTGACTACAGTAAAGTTTTGTTTCTCTTTTGTATTTCGATCACAAATCCATTCAGGGCTCTGATGAAAGTCTTATCTTTAAAGACTCAAAACCAAATGTATACACACCCAGCTCTACAAATATGTCAGAGAGCTTTAAACAAGTAAAATTACACAGTTACCAAAAGCACATCAGCAAAAAATACCTTCACTATAAAATGAATCCATTGTGAAGGGAACGTAACCACAAGTGTGGTGACGTCATTGTGGTGAACATGTTACAAGAAGAGAGATGGAGGAAATAGGACTCGTCTAGCAAGAATCAATAAATCACAGACAAAAGTTGAATTAGAATATTACTATGTATGAGGAAAATGATGAGTAGCTGAAAAGCTACAAAATATCACACAAATAAAACATAATACCTTATATTTCTTTGAGAGGAAAAGTCTATGATAAAAGGTGAAGAACGCATGAGGCAATATATACAGGGTGAAAAGTAACAAAATGAGACAAATTCACCATACTGCTGAAACAGATGATTCAATACCATCAAAAATGGGGGGAAAAAACAAGAAGAAAACCAAATGTCTGCAGCACCAATGCCTTTGCCACAGTTCTAAAAATGCAAAAGAACTACAGGAGGAAAATATTCTTGAGTAATTAAAATGCTACAAAATGGTTCTCTTTTTGTTCCAGTTTGAACCGTTGCTACACAATTCCCCTTGACCCAAAAATACTATGTGAAAGACTACAAACAGTTAATGTCCAGTTAATTGAAATTACCACAAAAAGAAAGCATCATATCTTGTTACCTGAAATTAAAAGACAAAATGCTACAGAAAGAAATAAAAGTTAAAAAATGCTTTTAGTCTCATTTACAGCTTATGAATTCAGTTGATAGACTTGATTGAATATTGACAATTGTTATATACATATCACAACCAAATATAAAAGAAAATCATATCCATTTACATGCATATTTGTGGCCACACTACAAGAGGTATTCAACCAACATTCCTGCCCAACCACAGTGGTAACTCGATAAAATAAATTATCATATTTTACAAAATTACATGTACACTTCTAATTGTATTATGCCAACGACTAACATTCTTGTACCTCAGCTGAAGCACATCTCTTGTTTCACAACATAATTAGAGAAAACTGCTCCAAGAATAACTTGATGTTATGCAGGCTTACTCAAACATATGATAGATAATGCATTACTACAATTACCCACTTGGAAAAAGAAATTCCAGTCAAAAATTGTCTAAAAGCAGATATTGCAAAATGATTACAATTCATGTGAATCATGAGCACCAAACATTTCATCAACTGCCCTCCTAACAAGTCAGAAGAGGAGCATTGATTGATAGTCATGACAAAAGCTACTTTAGCCATCCTCCAACCCCTATTTACTGGTGACCCGAGGCAAACAGCATGCAAAGGAAAACAGTCTTCATCTGGCCTCTGTATCATCAGCAACAGACTCTGGTTTTAAAATTTGGTATGTTATGAGGTACTCCGGATAAGCCTAAAAACAACATAAAACAAGGCAAATAAATATGTGAAAACAATTAAAAAGGGACTACATACAGTTTTTGAAATTATTTAGGAAATATACTCACTTGTTCGCCACGGTAAATAACATACTCAGGGAAGTTGAGACCACCTGCACTAGGTCTACCGAGAACAGAGTGATGACCTGGAGGTGCATGAGCCATTTTCATGGCACTAAACTGCAAGAAGGATTTGCCTAAAGTGACACGGCAAAGGAGCAACTGCCTGTGGCAGATGTAGCAAGATCTATCCCTATGGGAAGGACAACCTGTGCCCCCACCAAATCCATAAACATATTGGTTACTCTTTGAGGAGTGTTCTGCAAAGTATATTCCTGAAAAACAAGAAGACAAGGTTAGAAGTATTTGATAAGAAACAAGCATTTGAAAAGGAAACATGATAAAATAAAAACGCACCGGCACCAAACATGCCACCAATGTATGCATGACGTTCATCAAAACCCTTTTGGACTATAGCATTCATAAAAGGTGAACCGTGAAAGAGCATTCTTTCATTTGCTTGGTTGCCATTTTCTTCACTAACTTCTTGCCGTCTGTGTGAATAGCGCTCCCAAAGTTTGCGATTCTGAACTTTTTGTATCTGAAAGTGAGACAAGGTTTTCAAAATTATTATTTGGAACTTACAAGAGTCTCAACATACGCATATGCTGAAACATTTTCTGAGCTCACCCTGATAATGTTGTATCGGGAAAATATTCCACCAGCATGGCCATTGTCTCGATGCTCCCGCACAGTGCTTTGCATTTCCTCATCCACAGCGATAAATTCTTTATCATCACTCAGCAAGTCAACTAATAATGTACCAGGAGGTAATGGAGCAAGATTTGTGTTTCCTAGGGAAAGAGCAATGCAGCATTGATAAGCAATCGAGCTCTTTTAAAATATTACATACAATTTCTCAGACAGTGTTGAGAACTCACCATTACTTGAATACAACTTTTCAATACCCTTAAGGAGTTTGTGTCGGTATCCATATGCACTGATACCAATTTGCTTCAAATCCTCATGACCCATCTCTCCAAGAATATCTAGTGTGATCTGCTCCCTCTCGAACAACTCAAGTAAATGCTCCAATCCCAGGCTGAAATCAAAGAGACGTCATGTAATTCTAGAAAAACAACACGACGGGAAACGGGTCCCAAACGGGCGCAGCGCGTCCGCACCTGGTAAGGAATCCAGGCACACTCGTGATGTTCGACGGGGCGGACTCGACGGCGTTGCCCTCGGCCTTCTGGCAGTCCGGCAGCGAGCAGCAGCCGTCGCCGTGGGGGGCCGGCATGGGGGAGGCGCGCCCGGTCCCGGTGCGCGCGTTGGCCACGGGGATGGACAAGGGCACCGGCGTCCCGGACGGCATCACCACCAACTCCGCGCTGCCGCCGCCGCTGGCGCCAGAGGCGTTGGGCGAGGGCGGGGAGGACGGCGTCGGCACCGGCGTCGCGGCGGCCGCCGCCACCGACTGCGTCCGGCCCGAACCGGAACCGGAACCGGGCGGTGAGGTGGCGATGCCCTGCTGGGAGGCCATGGCGTCCTGCAGCAGGCACTTGACGTCCTCTGCCGTGGCAAGGTCTGCCGGCGACTGCCCCTCCTGGTTCTTGAGGAACGGATCCGCGCCATGAGCGAGCTGGGAGTAGAGACGGGACAAACATGGATTAAAAGGAGCCCTACGTAAATGAAGACAACACAACAGGTAAACTAACGAAAAAAAAAAACCTCACCAGCAGAGCACAAAGCTGCGTCCTCCCTTTCTGGGCGGCTTCATGAAGAGGAGTGAAGCCCCACTTGTCAGTGGCATTGACCACAGTCGAATACTTGATGAGCAGGGCAGCAATGTCCAAGTGGCCGTATGAAGAAGCATTGTGCAGGGGGATCAAGCCACCCTTGTCCTGTGCATTAACATCAGCACCATGCTCCAGCAAAAACTCTGCCACTTCTAAATTGTTGTAGCCCGCTGTAAAGGAAAAAAAATATTCAGACAATTAACATTTGATTTCTAAAATCTTAAAGAAAACCAATTTTTGTTTTAAATGGATGAGGATCAGAAATCATTTAACTCTTCATGTATCCATGGAACAAGAAGTTAAACCTACACTAACCTACCCTACATAAATACACATACATACGCTTTCACATTCACACCAGGGCCTCTATTTGTTTTAATCATAGGTGTGTCACCTCAGATGCACTTCTTTTTCATCAGTGTGTCAGGGCCCTTAAATATTCACATTTACTCACACAATCACACAATTTTAATAGTCTACATAATTAATACGTCTACATAATTAATACCTTCAAAATTTGAACTTTTCAACCTCATAACCAAATAACCTAACAACCTTATTACCAAATTAACTATAAACCTTGTTATTACCAAATTACACACTTAATGTTCCTTGGACATTTCTGAAGAAAAATACCTGTGTGTGTCATCACTTCCTCTACTAATAAAAACTTATCTAAGCGTAAGAAATTTACACTTGCCTGCAAGATGTAAAGGTGTAGAATTACGACCCTGAACATCCCTACAGTTGATATTATCGGCAGTGACAAGACGTTGGACACGGGCCAAGTTGCCTTTCTTAGCAGCATCCAGTAATGCCGCATTGCCTCTCAAGAGGTCAGCAACATCCTGATCGCCTTCCCTCACAAGATCAAGCGGTGTCGCTCCATCACGATTCTTTTTTGTCACATCAGCTCCATGCTGCAAACAATAGCACTTGATGAGCACATTTACGAGCAAAGAATGAAATTGTAGTGACACAGTGGCTTTGCATGACAGACCAAATTCCTTGTATACTAACCTTGAGGAGCAGTCGAACGATTTCATATTTGCCTTTGGCAGCAGCTTCATGAAGCGGTGTAAATTTCCATAGATCTGCCACGTTAACACTTGCACCATGCTTGACCAGGAGTTCAGTCACTTCATAGTGTCCATAGGAACATGCGTTGTGCAAGGGTACCAGACCGCTGTAAAGTGCATAAGATTAGAAAAAGCCCACAAATTATGCATTGAAATAAAACTTTTTGCTTTGATTTATTAGTGAAAATTTTAATACCAACCCTTTGTCTTTAGCATGTACATCTGCACCTTGCGCAAGCAAATACTCAACTACAGTGACTCTGTTATACCCAGCAGCAAAATGAAGAGGGGTAGAATGCCTAAAAACAAAATAATCGTATAAGAGATGAGAAACAGAAGAGAATTTGTACTTGGATATCAAGTTTTGGACTTTAGGAAACTTACCGTCCATCTAGATCACGGCAGTTAACAATTTGAGGATAGGCTGTAAGGAGTCTTTGAACTTGTTCTGAATCTCCTGCCTTGGCGGCCTCTAGCATCTGACTTTCAACATCCACACAGCTAGCAACAGGTTCCGCTATAAAAGAAATAATCAAGAGATTATAACATGGATGAACGAAGAAAACTATGAAAGTTTGAGGAGAAGGTCATGTCTACTTACTTGGCTTTGTTGTCTGAAGAATTTTTGTGACATTATCAGTTGCCACTTGAGCTGCTGTGTAACCTTGGAGAGATACAATACCTGGATCAACATTGTAGGAAAGCAAAATACGACAAGCCTGGACATTGTCCTCATGGGCAGCACGGTGCAGAGCTGAAGAGCAAAAAGTTGAATTAACATGGTTCAAAGAATAAGATAGGATGCAGCTCAAGTTTAGGATTTTACCTGTTTGTCCTAAAGCATCGAGGGAGTTGACTTTCGCACCATGTCGCAGTAGAGCATCCATCACATCAAAATGAGAATTGTCAGCTGCTATATGCAGTGGTGTGAGGAAGTTCTTGTTCTTCTCGTTCAAATGGGCACCTTTACGCACCAGCATATCAATGATTTGCTTACGCTTTGGGGACGTGGAGCTAACAACAACATGCTACAAGGAAACAAGTGTGAAAAATTACTACAAAACAAGCAAAAAACATTCAGAAAAACACAAAATAATATTTAAGAGGCTTACAAGTGGAGTATCCCCATTATATGGGTGCTTAAAATTAACTAGCTCAGCTGTCAAATATTTCTTTACTCTTGCCGGATCGGCTTGCCTTGCAGCTTCCAGTAGACAGTGTCCTTTGAATTCATCTGAGGCAAACATAAATTCAGCACCATAACTTTAACTGTGACAAATTAGGAGCAAAAATAAACGAGCGTGAGCAGCTTACAGGCTAAGCGGTCCTGTAGTTCTCGAGTTGGAGCCACATCAAGTGCTGACTTGGAGTGACAGTTTAGAAGAGTAGGATCTGCTCCATGGCTTAACAGCAATGAGCAAACTTCCGCTCGGGACTTTGATGCAGCTTCATGCAAAGGAGTAAATTGCCACAAGTCCATTGCATTTACTAAGGCACCATGCTTCAGCAGCATCTCTGTCACTTCAAAATGCCCATAAGAACAAGCATTGTGAAGAGGCACCAGACCACTAGAGAAAAAGGAAATTCTACAATTAGACTGGTCAAAGCAGTGACCAAATACATGTGGGATGAATTATCCTCAGGATGTTACCCTTTGTCTTTGGCATGGACATCTGCTCCTCGTTGTAAGAGAAGTTGAACTACTCTGCTTCTATTGTATCCAGCTGCTAGATGAAGTGGTGTAGATCTTCGTCCATCACTTGCATGACAGTTAACATTTAGAGGATTTAGAAGACCAAGCAGTCTATCTTCAGCACCTGATCTAGCAGCTTCTAGCAGCTCTTCCTTGCGGTAGTCTCCAGTCAATACTGGCCGCGTTGCAGCATCTGCCAACTCCACGGCGGTTTTCCCTTCCGTATTTCGTATACTGGCATCTGCTCCATGTTGAAGTAAAGCTGGCAAAAGATAAGTCAATAAATTACATGCTTTGAGAGAGTCAAGGAATGAAAAGAAGAATTTATTGAACCTACCAATGCACACATCCACTTTGCCTTTGATAGCTGCTTCGTGAAGAGGAGTATAATTCCAATTATCTCTAGTATTTGGATTGGCTCCTGCTTCTAATAATAATCTGACGACATCAGCATGCCCAAAGGAACAGGCGTTGTGTAGTGGGTGCAGACCACCGTCATCTCGAGCTTGAATCGATGCACCAGAAGCTAGCAACAGCTCAACAACATCTCTTCGACCATAACCTGTAATAAAAATAAAATGTGAAAAAGAGGGAAACCATACAATAATTATTATGGGAGAAAATTTTTTTTTTCTCGATTTGTTTTAGGAGAGGCTTTGTAAATTAATTTTAGCATCGTCTATCACATACGCAGACAGGCACAAAGGAAAACACAGCCTTAATTTCAGGGAGATGTCAGAAGATTTCTGTCGGCGCATCCAGGTCTACAGGTAAGTGCTGGGCTAAGGTGGAAGTTGATCACATAACTACTCACAGAATGAATGAATTGGGTAATTGGGCTAATTAGAGTATTAGAAATAGGGTTGCAGGAGAGGGGAGGAGGGGGTTGGCTGAAGCTTACATGAACCCACCTCACTGAGCTACACTACTCCTTAAACGAATGAGAAATGAACCATAGGGGAGAGAGCTTAAAGATATTCGTCTAGTCATGGGCCAAGTTAAGAAATCTTGATGGAGGAAGGCGTTAACTTGCGATACGCAACAAAAATACGATGGACGCTAACGATACCCACCAGCTGCGAAATGCAGTGGGGTGGATTTCCGCCCCGCAGTGTCTCGGGCGTTCACCGTTTGCGGAGACACCAACTTTTTCACTTTCACAATATCCCCCGTTTTACAAGCTTCGAAAAGTTCTCGCAAAGGGTCCGAAGAACACGGCAAAGATTCAGAAGCAGCCGAGAGAACAGGTCTCTTGCTCGCCATTTTCATCCATTTTCATCACAACAGAAACAGAACAGATGAATCTTCATCACGGCCACACAGACTCTTCCACAACCGTTGTTCGGTTTCGGAAATCGTACGGTGTGATAGTGAACGAAACAAAGAGCTCGGCAGCGTTCATCAATTCCATTTTAAAACACACAAACACAACCAAGTGACGCATGGTCGAGGAAAAGTCGTGTTTATGTTTGGTGGACAAGCCACTTGGAGACACTTACAAGCTCGGTCGATCTGGCAACAGCGCATCGCACAAAGGTACATGTAAACACAGCCCGCAAGGAAGGAACCGTTTTCGTGGATTTCTTCCGAAATTCCTCAACCATCTGCGAGAAACTTAGTGTGTGCCGAGGAAATCATGTCCAGATTCGGGCATCACTGGCGGACAGTCTCGGGGGTGGTCGGTGGCTTCACAGCAGGAGCAGCTGTCTCCGTCTTTCTGCTGCGGCACTTTGACAAGCCCGTCCCCGTCACTGCAGCTGCTACTGCAGCAGCAACCCCCGCGGATCAGCTGTTGAGGACGCAGACGCGCGCCCCCGCCTCCACCGCCCCTGCCAGTGCCAGGGAAGGGGATGTTCCGCCCTCTGTGGTTCCCTCTGCCTCGCGCTACGAAGCGGCCGTCCGCACCTGCAGGGAGCTGGTTCGACAGACCAAAGAAGAGATGGGAATCCCTGGTGTATGTGTGGCAGTGAATGTCAATGGCAAGACAGTGTGGACTGAAGGTAAGCCCCTGGGATTCCCTTTTCGCATCTTTTTGTTAGAGGGAAGTCCAGTCGAGCTGTAACCAGGTTGCTTTCCTTGTTTCCTTGCAGGGTTTGGGTATGCAGATGTGGAGAATGCAGTGCCCTGTACTCCAAATACAGTGATGCGAATTGCAAGTATTAGCAAATCCATTACAATGGCAGCGTTGGCCAGATTATGGGAAAGAGGCTTAGTTGATTTAGACCAACCAGTCCAACATTACGTGCCCAACTTCCCCCAAAAGTCATTTGATGGAGAGCCTGTAAGTGATTGACGATTTTTACTAGCCTAAGTCAACTTTCTTTCAGTTATCCCTCAAACAACTATTCTAATTTTGACAGGTTGAAATCACCACAAGAATGCTTGTCAGCCACTTATCCGGAATCAGGCACTGGAAAGGTGGCGAGTCAACAGATCCTCCAGACAGCTCTGTAGTGCCGGAATTTTATATGAATACCAAGTTCAAGTCTGTTGAAGATGCGCTGAGCGTTTTTCAAGATGATGATCTTATACACAAACCAGGTTTGTTTCACTATGTCGGCACTAACAAATTTCACTAATAAACATAATGAAACTACTTCATCTCTCATTCAGGAACCACCTACTTGTACTCATCTCCTGCATGGACACTCATCAGTGCAGTAATGGAGAAGGCTGCTGGAACGCCATATCGTGATTTAATGTTGGACTTATTTAATCAGCTAGGACTAAGAAATACTCGTCTCGACTTAAATGATGTCCTCACCCCTAATAGATCACGGTAAGACTTGTTGACTTCAAAGGAATGCACCCCAATAATGGCGATTGTTGACAATAATTCCAAATTTGCCAATAGGTATTATGTTAGAAACAAGCATGGAAGACTCATTAACTCGCCAAGTGTTGACAACTCATGCAAGTGGGCAGGTGGTGGACTCCAGTCGACCGTTGGAGATCTAGTCAAGTTTGGTGATGCGATGTTATACTGCTATCAAGGAGGGCCTTCAGGTTATCTCAAGAAAGACACTATCGATGCCTTGTGGACTGTGACACCACACACGATCAAAGCTCCAAAGAGTCTGGCACCCACCAGTGGGTATGGAATGGGGTGGGTTGTGACACCAGAGCTGACGCACTTTGGAGGTGTAGAGCCACAAACATTGTCTGTCAATCACACAGGTGGAGCTGTTGGCGCTAGTAGTATCCTCTTCATTGATCCACAGCCAACAAATGATCAAATCGCACCTTCTGGCATTACTGTAGCAATTATTGTGAATATGCAGTCAGTTGGGCTAACGCGGTTGGCTAGAGAAATTTCAAAATGTTTTTTAAATTCTAAGCAGCACCTACTGTGAGATACTAATATTTGGTTTGAATAAGACTAAATAACTTATTCTGTTATAGATCAGTAAAATAATTGGGTTCAATAAAAAATTAAAGAAAGACAAAGTAAACAATTTTTTTTTATTAATTACTTAGTGCTGCTTACGCCTGAAGGAACATCCTGTAAAGAAAGATGATGATTAGCCAACTGGAAACAAGCATATAAATACTACAAAAATTAAAAGGGGAATATGGTTACCTTCCGTGAGCCTTGCTCGTCCTCCAGTGGGCTGGCACAGAATTGTGGAGCAACCGGCACATACAACAACGGATTGGGCATGGCTGAACACTGTAGTGATTTTGTAGCAGCCTGGAAGACACAAATGCCATGAATGAATGGTGTTTAAAAAAATAACTCCAAGTTGACAATTATGGAGTGCAACTTACCAGGGCACTTCACGTCCATAAAGTATGAGTTGGGGTGCTGGACCAGGCGCTTAAGTTTGTGGCGCCTCTTCTCCTCAGCTGGAGTGGGGTGCAGCAGATCGCGTGCGAGCTGTGAAATAAATTCAACAATGTCAACACCACTAACAGTATTTTGAGGGAGACAGTCGCCAAATGTAAATCTAGAATTTCAATGTTCACGAAGATAACCCAACAAAATGAAATTCAACTGAGTGAACCATAGGAGGGGTCTGTCCAGATCAAAGAAAGCAGTGAGACCATTGCAACAATTGTGCAAGGTGCAATGGACGCAATCGGAATGTACGTGACTTAAGGAATACGTTCGGACGAAACGTATGTAAGGGGAACTCAAGGATTACAAAACTAACAGATAACTATCAGTTCAATACAAAAAACACACATTATTTGGCGATGCGACAGTCAGATCAAGGCCGACATAACCTATAACAGTGGTACGCCAGTTGGTCTTGTCAAAGACTGCACGGAAGTACACCAAGGTGACGCTACATTGCATCAAGCAAACAGAGATTTGGGATAAATACATAAACAGGAGAAGATGGCGCGGATATGAAGGTAATTCTGCAAAACCGATCGCGGGCGGTAGGGCAACCCAACCTAAAGCTGGAAGGGCAATAGGCAGAAGGATACCCATTTACATACCGTAGGATGAGCGAAAAATTTGGGAGTTTCGAAACTAGCAAAATGACACCGCGCGAGTACCAAAAACGAGTGCATAAAGGGATGTTTGAAATGGTCACATGGCGAAGTTACCGACCAACGTGGAACATGTTGACATGCATCTCCACAATACGATCAGTGAAACAAGACCTCACAAAGAGTCGCGGGACGTCGGTAAACGTGCGCAAGAAAAAGACGGACACTACGAGCCGGAATGTGGAAACGCAGACAGCGTTTAACTTGAAGAAATCACACAATTACGAAGCCGCAATACTCACAGGCATGGTGCTTAGGACTTCGACAATGCCGGAAAGAAAATAATCAGAGAAGGGGTCCACAAGAAGCGGATGTGAGGCCTTGCTCTTCTTCTCAAGCGGATTCCGGTCAGGGTGGTGTCGTTTACAAAGTGAAAAAGACAAATGACGAACATTTTGAAAAAAGATTCCCGGAATGAGTCTAGACGCAACATGTATTTAAAATTAATATGTTATCTAAAATTCAGGACTGGTTTTGTTTACCGTTTCAAAATAAATAAACGAGCAATCGTTGATTTTATTCCGGAACATGTTGTTTTGTTGGGTTGGTTGTGCTTTAAACCATACCGCGTTTATTTAAAAGTACAACTTAAACTTAAACTTTTAATCAGGCTATCGTAAACGTTCTCTTTCTTTAATAAGAAAAACCAAAATTGGTATATCTCTCTGTGAATGTGGATAATCATTCGAAACTTGAAACTTGAATTTTCCACTTACTTTATGAATAAGCATCAAGTAAACCGAACTGAAGGTGGAACTTGACAGCAGAAAGCAGACAACAAGCAGAAGCTCCAAGCTCCTTGAAGCAACACCCGCACGTACAGAATCGTGACATTAAGCTGTGTTAAAGAAAACGAGTAGGTTTTCACGAAACAAATTAAAGGACGATATGAACTATCGCCTATTTTGTCGAAATAATTGTGAATTGCATGTGCTGTAGGTTTATCTGCTGCAGTTGAGTGAACTCCACCGTCTCTCTGTCACAGTCACAGCCAGCCCAGCCCTTGGCAACCGGCTTGATTCACCGGCACCGCTGAGGCGACACAACCATGGCTCTTGTAGTTTCCCAGGAAACATTCGATCAAGTGGTTCGCGAAAATGTCGAGGATCTGGACATGGACTTAGAGGAGGCTGCCGAGGATGCTATACAACAGTTTAAAGCACAGGTTAGAAGGCAACAACCTGACAGCGGGCCAAACACCTGGTTTTGACAACCAATCATTTTCATTTATTTACCCTTTTCATCACATGTCTTTTAATCAGTTTACTCAGAAAAATCTAAAAAAAAATTTGAATTTGGCAGTCTGGCTGTTTTAGTGTCTTTTCTGAAGTTCATTCACCATTCTTTACTTAAGACGTTACTGCAATGTTCGCCAATCAATATAATTGTGGTTTACTGTATATAGTTGACTTCATAGATTATTTTTTATTTCCTGTGTCTTTCTAGGGTGTTGATCTTGGAAATATCATCACGGATCCAAATATGAAAAAAGAGTCAGAATCAGAATTATCAAGCTGTATCGCTCATTTGTCTGGTTTCAAATACAACGATTCTAATGATTCTGATCTTGATAGAGACCTACAGACCATAAGGAAGTGGTGTGACAAAGGCATTCAGTACAGGTTTGTAATAACAAAGAAGTTCACTCTCATGGTCTCTTCATTATTTGTAATTTAAAATGTGCAAATTAATCTAGTTTGAAATTCTTTGTAGGATTCTTGCTGGCAAGTTTAAAGCTTACAATGCATTAATAAATGTTCTAAGCCAATCTCTAGACAGGGGAAAAATTCTTACAAGTATTCTCAAGACTCTCACATCACTTTTGACTGGTAAGTTCCTGCTCCTGAGTCTAGACAAGATGATGCAGTGCTGGTTCACCTTATTACTTCCTATTTTTTTAAAATTTCAAGCTATTTTAGTTCCAAACTACACGCACAATTTATTCCAGGATACCCCGATTTGTTTGATGATGATGGTGCTGATGCCTTATTGTCAGTATTATCCACATCAAAAGAAGCTGAGATCGTTGTTGCCTGTTTGAAGGTAGCACAAGCATGCTGCCTCAAGCATGAAAAAAATAGACAGGTGATTAAAAAAAAAATCAAACCACCAAGTCATTTGTGTGCTCCTCTTATGCTTATTTTGCAGTGTGCTCTCCCTTTTGTTTACAGAAATTTGCAAACAGAGAAATCCACACCTTAATTACTTCCCTGTTGGAGCTGTCTAATGATTCTGCTATTCTTATTGAGACTTGTGAACTCATCAAACTTCTCACTCTGGATGATGACATACGTGAGCAAATTAGCAGAGCTCATGAACATGCCCGTTTGATAGCAATCAATAATCTCTGCATTTTGTGTGATTTGCTTGGGAGTAAGCTTTCCTTGAAAAATTCAATGTTTGAATCTTTAAATCAATTATACACATTGCTTAATATCTCTGAAACAGTAGTAACTTGTTTTGTCTTCAACAGAAAACAGGAATGACATGGCCACGGCACCTCACATACTTGCAGCTTTGTCAGCTATTGTAGTTCGTAATGAATTTTGTGAGAAAGTGGACCAGGCTGGTGGTATAATTCATATTCTGGACATATTAGCTGCCCATCCAGATACTGAGGTCTGCAGAAGCAAAATTTCAGAAAATTCTTTTAGTGCTTCAATGAAACAATTGGTTTGTTTACCTTTATCCATGTTTTAATCAAGGTTTTGATCATTCATTTTTGAACAGAGAGTCAATCTGCAGTGCCTTAAAATGATCAAAGTCTTGGCAGGGAATGATGATGTAAAGTTGCATCTCATGCAGAGTGGTGCATCCCCATTACTGCTGGCAGCTATGTCTCGTCACAAGGTTATTTATCCTGGTTAATTTCCAGTTTAAAAAACTACGTATTGGTGTTGTCTAACTTTATTTCTCATCTCCAACCTCTAGGGAAGCAGTGTTGTATCATCTGCTGGCTGCAGTTGCATTGCTGCACTGGCTCTGAGATCTCCTGACAATGCCCAAGTTCTTGTTGACAATGGAGCAGCTGATGCTCTTGTTGATGCTTTGAAAATCCACAGCAAAAATGGCAATGTCCAGGTAGATGCTGAGTGTTGTACCATGTCCTAAGTCAGTGTCTTGTCTACACGAGAGCCGATTTTAATGTTGTGTCATTCCTTTCAGAGAGCGGCCTGCTTAGCCATACGTAACTTGGTTTCCAGAAACAAAGGACTCTGCGCAACCTTCCTGTCTTTGGGTGTTGAAGATCTTTTAAACTCTGTTGACAAAGCTACATGTTGGGATGAGGCTAAAGCAGCACTGCGAGATTTGGGATGTAATGTTAAGCTTGAGGAACCTTTCAAAGGCAAGGGAGTCAAATTATCACAAGGAGATTAATTGCACATGTGAAATGAAGAAAGTGGTGTCGGCATCACATATAACAACCATTAAAATTTGCATTGAGTTTGAGGAGAAGGGTTCAATGATGAAACTACCATAATTTGCTTTTCATTTTTTTAAAACTTTTTTCTTTTTATTTTATAGTACTTAATTTACAAAACGTTTTCCCTTTTATTAACAATGAATGCATTTTTGTTGGTTTTATTTTTTATATATTTTTTTTTTACAAGTAAAATATTTACCCCACTTATAAAGACAAAATGAACACTTCCCATTCCACCCCAGCATTAAGATTTTAAAATGGGTGTCGGAGACAAAACAGCAGGGGAAATAGGTTCATCTTATCAGTTCTACTTTCCTAAACTATGACTAATTAGTACACATTCAGAACAAACACCATTATGTTTCAATATGCACATCAACGGCATTAGTTCTAGGAAAAATCTCTTGAATAATTCAAACTGCCAATGTAAATTGATTCTAGTGACTAATTGGTCAAGAAAATATATCATGCTTACAAGGTCATACACACTTGTGTGACTCGATATTCAGTATGTAGAGTAAATGAAAGAAAGTTCTGAGTTTCAAAGAGTAGCATCATATCCCTTGGTTTGATGAAGTCCAAACGTGTATTTTTATGAGGAAAAAAAGATAACGACCTCAGAGGTCAGCCCACAAGTTTGAAATAACAGTTACTTAATGGAAAAGCTATTACAAAAAAAGAACAATACTGCAAATATTTTCAAGTCACAACCGCATACTTCTTTGATGAGAGACGAATTGTTTAATGGGCAATACAGGAAAAACAAAATGGAGTTTGTACATTGATGGGCAATTGTGCCCTACATTACGCTTATCAATCATCCACAGCCAAATTAACAAAAAAAATAATATAACATTTTGCACTACTCAACAGAATCTGTTAGGGGAAAAAAAACAAAGCCATTACTGCTCCCATATAAAACAATAACAAAATCAGGAGGAAACAAAGCGTATTTGCAAAGTGAGGTGCATGTGCGTGTTGATGGCCCATCACTTCAAAACTTAAGATATTCACCAATAAACATAAAGGTAATACATTACTGATTAAAGCTATGGGTCTACTCTAAGGAAAAAAAGAAAAGAGGTACAAGTTACTTCAAACTTACTGAACATTGTATCCAAAGTATAACTCTTTTAGTTCACAATGCACTTTCCATTATGAAAGGCTGGTGTGGACAGACACAGGCGCAAAATGTATGAGTAAAAAAAAATTTGTACTAGTCTTTGCAACCAAAGAACAATTTCCAGTTGAAATTCGACTGACTGCAGTAAGGCAGTTTTGATTGAGATAACAGGAGTGGAACACACTTGTACTACTTCCACTGCGCTGATGTAAGTTAAGTACAGCTCAGGAAAAAGTAAATATGGGTGCAACATTTTTTTTTGTTTAAGTCTAACAAATATACAAACCTCCTTCAAATTAATCATATCCTAACTACTTAGCTATCAACTGGTCAAGACCACAAATGTGCACACTTTGCAACAGGGCAGCAAGAATTGGAACTTACTCCAGAAGCTGGATACCAGCAGGACAATTTTACATTGCATAATTTGCACATTCATGGGTAAAGACATCACGACATTTGCTGCAAATAGCTACCACAGAGACAGACTTTAACACATTTGAGCTGAGAAATGAGCCAGAAAGGTCATTTATCCTGTGGCATAAAGCTGACAAATTACAAAACATTTTGATGCTAACATCAAACCTGAGCAAGTAAAAAGAGTAAGAGGGAAAACACTATGCATTAGTTCCAGTTGCATAAGCGTTTTCGTCCACTTAAACTCAGCTATACTTTTCATTAGCATGAAAGTAATGCATGAACAAAGCAAAAGAAAACCCTTTAAAACAACACACATTCTTCAAAAATGGTCATGATTATTCTTACCATAATATTAACAAAACAAGTTCAATAATAATAATAATAATTAATCAATTAATTACAAACACAGTGTCTGCGATAGAAAATCAGCACATTGATTTATTGGTCACTCAGGATCACCAATAAATAAATTATGTGCCGCTTTTAATGTGGTCAGTATATATTCGAATAACCTTGATAAAAGCAGACACTCACAACAAGTTGATTTTCAGCTCTTATAATACAATCTACAACATGGAGTAAAGACATGAATAATGGCTAACAGATGCAGGTTTCCAGCATCTTGGTACACATTACTGACTGACCACTCCTTGTAACAGTCAAAATGTGCAACAATTCATGACTAATAATTGAATTATTGCAACACTTATCCTCCAATTCAAGTACACTTGTCTGAAACTGTTAGTCTATGTACACTGGACTAGGAATATACAACTTGAAACATTATTACATCATTCCCTTAAAGTCGGAAGTTTATGGTACAGTAACATTATAATTTGCATAAAAATAAATTCAGCAGCTGGCACAAAACGAAGGACATGTAACACACCCAAGAGGCAGTCAATTGCTGTATTAACAAAAGCAAAGGGTTTCTTAGCTCAGCAAAAGTAAATCAAAAAGTATCAGTCCATTTCAGTCATCCAGTTAAAAAAAAAAAAAGAAAGGCAACATTGCTAGCCAGTGACAACAGACATCTGTACCCTATCCCCGTGTCCATTTTTCTGTCGGTTGTCTCACATGTCCCTGCACACAACCGGCACAACTGAGTAACATCCTCTAAAAATATATAGTCAATCTCACTGTCAATTAGAAAAGGATAAAATAGAGTACACCATTTTCATTTTTAAACAGAAAGGGATCGTATTCTGACCCTAGTTATTGAACTCAGTTTCCTTTTTTTTTTTTTGTATTTTCCCCCCTTGGCACAAATGGACCTTCACAGCCTTTGTTTCTCAAATATTAAAGAATCCAAAATCTGAAAGTCACAGATTTTTGATAAATTTCAGAGTTTTTCAAATTTAAAAGTAATCAAAAAGATAAAACTACCAAAACAAAAATATAATACAGCACTTTTATGAGCTCCAAACTCTTTGAGTCCCTGAGTTGCTGCAAGACAGATCTTGTTTTACAGAGGTCCATCTTACATTGAGTTAATATTAATAAAATAAAAAGAACTAGAAACAAAAATGGGTACAATTTCAATTTTAAGATCACATTTTACAGAAAACCTGAAGTCAATGTAGAATGCAATCTTTCAGATAAAAAATAAAGTAATAGTCATCATAACTTTCATAAGTAAATGTTCACTGTCAAAACACAATGTGGAACTTGGAAGACACCACACCTGGTATGTAAACACATAGAAGGCAAACCAAACTCAAACAAGGAAAAGAAAATACCAGTACATACCAGAAAAGGTCTAAGCAAAGACCTGCTAGCAAACAAATTGCTTTATCACACAAGTCAATTCTGAGCTGTTCAACAAAACAGATAAGACAGAGACAGGAAGTAACATACTAAAATTAAGAGTCAACTAAACAGTTAAAAAACATTTGACAGTTCCTGGTGTAAGACCCTGGTATCTCACAGAATGCCCTCCAACATGAACCACAGTAAAAGGCCTGGCCCAGTGAAACTAATTTGAGGGAGCCTTGTTAGCCGTAACCTTGTTTGTGGGCTTGAGAGCTGGCCTCAGAGGACTTTTACTTGCACTTCTGGCCTTTGGTTTCGATTCAGCATCACCTAGATTGAAGTTCACTCTTGCTTTGCTCACCGACACATTGGTTTTGTTATCTGTTTCATTTGAGCGACTGTCATCGACTGAATTCAGTCTTCTTCGACGAGTTGGGCCGCCAGGATTCACGATACGACCAGACCCGAAGGAGTTGGTGCGACGCCGCGGGTTGTTGCTGAAGGGCACTTGGCTGCCGGAGAGGCGACGCACGCGCTTGGGGGCCTGCTGGCCCTGCTGGCTGGCGCTGTGGCTAGGCTGGCTGTCATAGCTGCAACTTTCGGAGGCGCTGCGGTTGCGACGCCCGTACTTCAAGGACAACACTCGCTCATTCTCTTCTGGGGGCTGCAATCAAACCAAATGGGTTAAAAGACAAAGCCAAGCAACTCGGCAGTGCCACATAGGTGCCTTGCAGGATGACACATACCTCCAACAGTCTGAAGTCATCAATAGTTTTGAATTTAGATAGATATTCTTTCAGCTTGGGGTCCACAGCGAGCTTCTTGCTGTGCTTGTAGTACTTCAAAAATGCCCAAAACTTCTCTAGTCCATAATATTGGCCTGGAAATAAAAGTCTCCTTATGAACCGCCCTTTTCAAATTGATCAATGTTGAGCATTAGCAAACAATATGTATCTTACCACTTTCATAGTCCCTAATTGTTTCCTCTTGGAAGTCTTGGTAAAGATTGGGTTTGAAACGCTTCTCTAAACCGTAGCTGTAGAAGCGGAAGAGGCATTCCAATCCATATCTGCAAAATAAATTGCAACAGTTAGGAAATACATCAAGAGAGGATACTGGCTTAACACTAAGGCATACTAAGGCATTACTCAGTACCTGAATCCTTCCTTCGCATCTTCTAAAGCAATAGTCCTGAATTCATCATACATCTTCCTGTTGAAATTTTCCCGTAAGAAAAATGACCAGAAACGGAACAGTGTATTCATCTCCTGAGACTGCCCAATGCCAAGCTTGGAACGTTCTGAAATAAAGCAAAATGATCAGTAACAATCCTGATTCCTAATTTGCTAAAGTAAATTGAACATCAAACAGATCTTAACATACCTTTCAAGCAGCGGCTGTGGTACTTGTGATAAGCCTGCTGGGTGAAGTTGTTTTCCTTCAGCAAAGCATGTGATGGATGTTGGAATGATGGCAATGATGAAGGGATGCTTCCAATGCTACTTGACAAATGTCCCTCACTAGGACTGGTACCAGTGCTGCTGCTATAATAAGAAAAAACAATTTGCTCAGCAACAAATTTGAGTGATGCACATAAAAAAGTGAATCAAGAAACAGTTCTAAAGGCACTCCCTACGTACCTCATAGAAGCAGTTCGGGGTCGGTGTTCCCTAACATCCATAATCCAGCCCACATGGTGTTCAACAGGAGGATTACTTGAGTGGCGTGTTTTGTATTTCTTGCCTTTACTGGGTACGTTATCTTCCTTGACAACAGCATAGAACCGTTGGTGCTGCCTTTTGTTAGCACCTTTCTGATTGCCAGAACCAGACATTTGGAATTCAGGAGCATCGGCTGATAGCTTAGAAGCAACCTACAAAGACAGAATGGAAGGTAAAGATAACCACATCTCCCGTTGAAGTCATAGATAAGAACTGCACCTTAAAACTAGACTTACAAGAGATGATGGAGGTGGTGGCGGAATTTCAGGATTGGCGCTCTTCTGAGAAGACTTGGAGGCCATCTTATCAAATGTCTCTTGAGTGATAACATTTACAGTTTTGTAAGAGCCACTTTGAGGAATCCACCCCTGTACGTTAAGCTCATCTTCATAGTAAGAAAGGCCATCATTAATAGCGTGTTCTAAATCTTGAGACATTTTTACACGAGATGTGTAATCTCCAGTGCGATCATAGCCTTCGTGTCTGGAATAACGGGCGGGAAGATGTGCTGATACTTGGGTAACAATCAGTAGCTTATTGATTTCATGATCAGGCAATTCATAGTCATCCTCATCCTCTGACCTGTGAACACACATACACACAAATAAAAATTTCATGACACTACACAATTTGAATTAAAATAAGGAGGAGGAGATAAGGCTTACAAATCTGTAAATTTATTCGTACGATGAGTTCCCAAGGACATATTATCAATCTCTTCATCAAACTGGAAATCAAGCTCTTCACGATCATCTGCACTTGGTTCCTTGGCCTTCTTAAATTCCACCTCCTTCTCCTTGTTTTTGAGGTCTTCCTCTTTTTTGGAAGCAACTTTAACTTTCCGTTTTACCTGAAAAGAAGTTGTTACTTAACGTGGTTTTCTACAAAAGAATAAATTAAAAGATAAGGGATAGAAATTACTTACCTCCTGCCACAACTCATTATTGTCTATTTTAGCTGCTGTGCTACGGAAAAGTTGAAGAAGAGGCTCAGCGACTTCAGTGACTTTAGGGATTGCATTTCGATTAGGTGTAAGGCATTTCTCAATTAACTCCCGCTCTAAAACCGAGAAAAATAAATGAGATACGTCAAAGAGATTGCGACGGCAAATAATAATAAGAAATTACACAGAAGAAGAAGAGACATACCTTCATTTGTTATGTGCTTCTTGTTATCTTTTCGCTCAGCTGGTTTAGCTGGGGCAGGTTCCTTGACTTTCTCTTTCTTGGCATTTTCGTCCTTCACTTGTTTCTCAACTTGTTTCTCAACAGAGTTTGGAATAAAGGCTGGCACCTCAGGGTTCAAGTCTTCATCTGACCTGGTCAGATCTGGGGGAGGAACAGTGTTGGGAGGAAGTGGGCGAAAGTTGCGAGGCAGCGGAGGAGGAGGCAAGTTATGAAGCGGTAAGACTGGGGCCACACCGGCAGCAAGCGGCACAGTTGTTAGTCCTGGATGATGCCCTAAGGGATGGGCTGGAGCTGCTTGAGTCAAGGGAACAGAATTAGCGACCACTGCATCAGGCAGGGGCCACCTTAAGGGATCATCCTTTGTCCGTACCTGAAAAGGTAAGCACAGTGAGTTAGAAATGTTGAAGTATTGCATAATGACCATGATATCTGATTGATTCAGCAACTCACTTTGAAACCATTGAACAGCTCTAACTTGTCAGAGCTGCGCACTGCAGCCAGAATCATAGCCAGGTCTGTAGTGAGGGCCTGCAGTCTGTGGAAGGAGGCAATAAGCGTCACGGGCAAGTAGCCCTCAGCATCCATTTTCCTCCGCAGGAAGAAATCCTTCATCAGGTTTTCTTCGCTGAAATAGTACTCACTGCAAAAGAAAGAAGCGTCAAAAGAGTGCCAAAGACAGGTAAGTCAGATCAAAGTCAAAATAATGGCCAACTCACATCTGCTTCTTCACATGCTCCTGCAAGGTAGGGCCATCCATGTTGCCATAGGAGGTGCCATCGAAATAGAACGCCCCCATGTACGGCATGCCGAACGCCATCTCGCCAAGGCCATTGAACTTGCCGCCCTGCGGAGACAAACCAGTGAGAAACAGGCAACGTGGTCTAATAAGAAGCAACAAAAATCATCTTGATGCTGACCGCGGGGAAGAAGTCTGGCCTGCCAGACAGTGCACCACCCCGGCCGGCCCGCGCGGCGCCCCTGGCTCCGCCCCTGCCGCCGCGACCGCCGAAGCGAGCGTGGGCCCCGCGGGTGGAGCCGGGGCCCGGGCGGTGTGCACCGTGGCCGTCGCGACGCCCCTTGTCGTCGCCCTCGGACCGCCAGTTGGAGCCGTCGCCGTTCTCCAGGTACTCGCTGTCATCCCCCTTGTCGTGGTACCAGTCCCCCCGCTTGCCGCGGTTCTTGGTGATGTCGATTTCCAGGGGCACCCATTTCTGCTTGGGCACTGCAAGCGACAGACACAGGTCATCATTCCTGAGACATTACTGCGGAAGTGAGTGCAACTAAGACAAAACCCTTACCCTTCTTTTTCTTCTCTGCAGCGTTGTCATCCTTCGATGACACCATCTTTTTGCTGCTCTCCTTCACCCCCTCAATCTTGACTTCTCTCTTGGCCTTGTTGTTCACAACACTTTCCTCATTCTTTTTGCCAGGATGAGAATTCGATTTGTTCTCCTTGCCATAACCATTGCTCACGGGAATGTGTTTGGGCTGTAACACCATGAAAAGATGTGCTTGAAAAACACTTGTTTGGAAAGGGACAATTCATGAAAATGTCACAGTAGAATACAGAGGCTTATTTGGGCCTCATGAATAGCCATAAAGCGAAAGGGGGCAAGCACAGGCATTAACAAATTATTGTGTGTATAAAAAAAAATATACAAACCTCAACATTTACAGTGCCTAGAGTGGGCCAGTCCTCGATATCATTAAAGTTGCTTGCCTGAAATATACAATTACCACACATGAACATGCAGTGCCTTAGTTACATGCAACAACACTCACTGAGATCCACTAATTCTATTAAAAGCCGACCAGAATAGATCTTTACATTTAAGTTTACAGAAAAACTAATGTGGAAAATGTTACCCTCATAATTAAATTTCCAATGTGGAAGCAGTGGGATAAGAGAAACCTAGCTTACACCCAGAAGTAAAATAGTTCAACTCTGAGAGGAGTTTCAAAATTGGGATGATTGTCTTTCAGATTCCTGGGAGTTTGCACGGGAAATTTAATGGGAAAATGTCAAGCAGAAGAGAAACCGAAAGGCAGGGACTCTTGATTAACTGAGTAGAATTGGCGTGTGTGATGAAAAATCACAGAAGTCAGTAAAACAAAAGTGCAACATCGAGTGCAGCACAACAGTGCCAGGAGATTCGCCTGTTTGTTTTTAGTTTGCCAAACAGAAAAAAAAAGTCAAAACAGGACAGGTGGTTCCCAGGAAGTATATGTTTAGATGAAACGAGGCACCAGTCTTACAAAGGAATAAGTGCACCACACAAAAACAAGATCAATAAGCATCAAAATTCAAGCTATTAAAGTGCAGTGACGACAACTCACCTTCTGATTAAATCGCTTCCTATCCTTCGAAGCTCTGATAATAACTGGACCGGCTTCCTTTTGGACTCCGTTTTCTGAAACAGAAATTCAAACGTCAGTCATGACACCTCTCTCCTCGGTTGGGGGAAGTCCTCCACAAATGGACACGAATGAAAACGTCAAGACGAAACCTAGAGCCGCGGTCATTCCCCCGGAAAGCAACCCTTCGAAACGCCCCCTCGAGTGGCATGAGCGAGAATCCCCCCAATCCGTCCCACACGACACCTACAGCGCGCAGCGCAGTGCAGCGTCGGCGTCCAGATGCACGGACCGGAGCAACGTGACAACCAGCACACTGGTCAGCGCGCCGCGACTAGACACTGCTAGACACGCCACCGCCTAGACGAGGACAGCCAGCCAGGATCTGCGCAGCGCGCGGCAGCGCGACACTTCCGACCGAAATAGCGGCCTCCCGCGGCATGGCTGGCATGGGCGCGGCTAGCGCGGCCACCGCGGCGCCCCACACCACCGCCTGCAGACTGATTCAGAGAGTCGTTTGCGTCGCTCTGTCTCTCTCGCACTCGTGGGGCGTCCCGTGTGGGCGCGAGAGAGACAGAGCGACGGGCTGCCTAGGCTGTCCGACAAGGACGACGCCACTCCGCCAGACAGAGCGCGCACCATTTCAGCGGCTGGGGCCTAGCAGCCCAGCCGTCTGATTCCGAACACTGCTTCGTCGCTCTGTCTCTCTCGCACCGCTACGGACCGCCCCATGAGTGCGAGAGAGACAGAGCGACGAAAGCAGTGCTCGGAATCAGACGGCAGGCAGCCTAGGCACAGCGGCTGGGCGCGCGCCAGGCCTGGCCAGGCCGCACCGCACCGCGCACTCGTCGCCCCGCACCGCACCACGCCGTGCGCCTCGCGAGCCTCGCGGACCCGTCAACAACAACAGGAGCGGCACGGCGGCGCGGCACGGCGGCGCGGCAGCCACGCAGCCGGTAAACACCACGCCGCCATGCCGAACCTCGCCGCGCCTCGCGAAGGACGTGGCCAGGACGTGGCCGCCAAGGACGAGAAAGGGGAGGCAAAAGGCCTCGCCGTGCCACGCCAACCCGGAAAAAGTAACACTCGTCGTCTCGGAAGGCACGGCCATGGGCGCCATGGGCCGCGACAGGCGGCGGCTGACGGCAGGGCATCGAGCCCCGTCATCACCTTCGGGACTCTGGGAACCATTCATTAATTACGTAACGCCAAACGGGGGAGGAGGAAGGCCGCATCCTTCGCGTCCGCGGAGTTGCAAGGGCCACAGCGGGCCGACGGACCCACATCGCGAGGGGCTGCACCGTAAAAACGGTTCCTCATTTTCCCTATGGTAAAGACATGGGCGGATTTCCTGGGATTTCCTGGGAAAACCTGGAACCATTTTCACCGTGCGGGGTACCCACGTTAATCATTAGCGATCCACACACACACACAAACATGTGCCACTGACACTGACAGGTACCTGCACTGGGGGAGTCCCCGCACGGCACCGGCATCAGAACCATGTCGCATCGGCACTGGCAGGGGGAGGCGGGGCGGGGAGCGAGGGAAGGCCACCCCCAAGACGCGTCTTGGCCGACGAAGCGACGACGCCGGCGAAACCGAAAGTCACTCGCCCAGTCGAACTGACGGCCAAAACGGACGGACGCGCGCCCGGCTCGGCAGGCTGGCGCTGCAGAGGCGACACGTGGAGACCAAAACCCAACGCGGCGCGGCACAACGGCGACGGCACCAAACACGAGGCGGAGTCGCGGAACGGAGTGGCGGAACGGGGCGACGGGGAGCCGCGAGCCGCGCCGGGGCACCGCGCGCCGCCGAGGGGGGCCGCCCCGCCCCGCCCCGCCCCGCCCCGCCCTGCCCCCCTGCCCCGCCCTCGCCCTGCCCTGCCGCCCGCCGCGGTGCGGCAGTGGCGGTGCGCGGTGCGGCCGGCCTGCCCGGTATGCGATAAGTTTTGCCGGTCCGATGAGTGGCGGGGCGGGGCGGGGCGGGGCGGGGCGGGGCGGGGCGGGGCGGGGCGGGGCGCGCACCGCGAGGCGCGCGGTGCCCAAACCCGTTCCCGACAGCCCCCCTTTCTTTCCCCCTTCCCCGGACACCTGATCCGGCAACCAGGTATAGAGCGGAGCAAGACAGCCTATAAAACGAATAAGGACCTTGGCTGGCGGGCGGTAGCGGCGGCAGCACGCCGTGGCTGGCGGCTTTGAGCGACACGTTGGACTTCCCCCACCTCCGCCACCTTTCGTTTTTAAACGGAGCCGGACTCCGGGGCGGGGATGCGTGGCAAGGGCCGCAAGGCGGGCAAGGCACAGTGGGCCAGAAGACCGGTGGAGGCGGCCAAAACTCCAGAGTCGCTGAACTGAACTCGAACCGAACGTGTGACCCCACCAATCGATTCCTCGTTCGGAGAGCAATCCATCGGCGGGGTCACACATTCGGTTCGAGTCCTATTTAGCGACTCTGGAGCTCAAAACGCGTCTACAGTTTTGGCCGCCTCCACCGGTATTCTGGCCCACTGTGCAAGGGGCCCAAGGGGAGGGAGGGAGAAATAAAGCACCACGACGATAACGGGCCAGGCCGCCAGGTTCGCTGGCTCCGCTTGTCCGGTTCGGCTTCGAGCTTCGGCGATGCAAATCGCCGCCACGTACAACCAAAAGACCCATTCCGAGTGTCGCTTTCGTCGCTCTGCCTCTCTCGCACTCGTGAGGCGTCCGCCGCGGGTGCGAGAGAGGCAGAGCGACGAGAGCGACTCTCGGCATCGGCCTGCCGGCGGCAAGGCGCCGCGCGCCTCGGTGAGGCCGCGAGGGATCGGACTCGCTCGCGACGCTCGCGACCCAACGAAAGCAAAAGTCCCCCACGCACGACGCGGCGACACGCGGCGACACGCGGCCAGACCCAACGGCCGAACGGGCTGCCGTTGCGCCGCGGCCAAAAAAAGAATAAAATACAAAACCTTCGAAAACCGGGCAAACGACACAAAGATAAATTAACGAGCAGGGCGTTCAGACCAGACTATTAGACCGCCGCCTCCTGCTTCACCGCGAACAGCAGACTGATGCCGAGAGCCGTTTTCGTCGCTCTGTCTCTCTCGCACTCATGGGGCATCCCGGGAGTGGAGGTGCGAGACACAGGGTGACGAAAACGGCTCTCGGAATCAGTCTGCTGATAGCAGCCGCCACAGCAGCCCGTCGGCAGCACACTCTTTCTCGCGCAGATTCGCGGGCCGCTCAATCAGATAGCGACAATGTTGCCGGGAGCAAGACCGGGGCAGGCAGCCAAAACTCTAGACGCGTTTTGAGCTCCAGAGTCACTGAACAGGACTCGAACTGAACATGGAACGGGGACCCATTCAGTTCGAGTCCCATTTAGCGACTCTGGGGCTCAAAACGCGTCCGGGATTTTGACCAACTCCGCACCTGTCTTCTGGCCCACTGTGCGGCGTGCTAGGCACGGCTACACCGCAGTGGCGTGGGCAGGGGTGTCCAGTGGGCCAGGGTAGTATGACCCCCCTGACGATACACTAGACGGGCGCCCGAAAGTGCAGGCGGTTCATACCGCCGGAGGGTAGGCAATAGGCGTGGCAAATTTCTGCGCACGCCACTGCTACGCCCGATGCTACGCGACAGGGGGCGCGGCCGGCGGGGCGCCGCGCGCTGCACACGGTTAAAACGGTTCCTGGTTTTCCCAGGAACTCCCTGGAAATCGCCTATACCTTCACCATTGGCTTCCTGGGAAAACCAGGTTCCGTTTTTGCCGTGCAGTTACAGATACAGGTATCACTGGCAGTGTCGGGCCGCGCCGGGCTAGTCGCGCGAGGCGCCGAGAGGAACGTCCCGGACCAAGTCTCTAACCAAGTCCTGGGCCCGCTAGGGCCGATAGGGCCGATTACGTCTGTCCCTGTAGCACTCGCAGGGCCCGTAGGGCGCCCCGTAGAGGTGCGAGAGAGACAGAGCGACTCCTGGCCGGGCCGGGACTCCTCTCTAGCCCACCGCGGCGGCACCGCGAAGCGCGAACACGGCAATGGCCGCGCCGCTTCAGCCAGCCAGCCGCGGCTAGAGTGATGACCTTGAACGTTATCACTGACGTACCGCGTGGCGGTGGCGGCTAGCGCGGCTAGGCTAGGCAGCACACTCATTTTCGTCGATCCGCCCGTCTCTCTCGCACTCACGGGGCGCCCCGCGCAGCCTCGCGTAGGTGCGAGAGAGACAGGGCGATGAGAACGACTCTCGGAATGAGTCTGCCGGTTAGGCTCAAGCGGGCCGTGGCGCGACAGCGGTAGGCTACGGCAGCCTAGGCACTACCACGTGTCCGCGCTCCGCGCTCCGCCGCCATCTAGACCCACCACCACCTGTTGATCGGGGTGCCTCGCCTCGCGCCTCGCCTGCGGTGCAGACTCATCCCGACCGTCGTTTTCGTCGCTCTGTCTCACTCGCATCCACGCGGGGCGTCCCATGAGTGCGAGAGAGACGAGCCGATGAAAACGACTCTCGGAATCAGTCGGCTGCTTCGCTAGCTTCGCCACGAGCGCGTGTCACCACGTCACGTTCAACACACTGCAGAGCGAGCGTCAAGCTTTTACGACCAAAAAAAGGCCAAAAATAAAATGGGGAATTTGAAATTTGCCCAGCCCAGCGGCGGATTCGCAGGGTCAGCACAGGTTGAGGAGGCGGGGAGAGAAGATGTCTACCATACGTTTCGGATGGCCTAGCAGCAGGCGTTCAAGACGTGACAGGGTGTAAGACACCCCCCTCCCATAAAAAATATCACTCACATTGTACAACAGTACCTAAAATACAAAACGAAAAACGCCAGTTATGGGGTTTGAACCCGCGCTCCCAGAAGGAAACGGGACTCAGGTCCGACGCTTCAAACCTCTCGGCCAACTTTGCGAAGTCCGGGTGAGGGAGGAACAAAGGTGGCGACCGGGGGGCGCTGTGCGGCGCTGTGCTGGTGGAGGGGCAAGCGCCGATAGGTACCTAAGGGTGTTGAAGGCTGCCAAATTTAATTCATTTCAACCCCCTCGACAGTCAGGTGAAGTGAACTCGTTCGCCTTTGACGGCCGGGGCACCGGGGCACTTGACAGCCGCCTGGCAGGTAGGCAAATTGCATCCTGTACGGAGGCGAAGAGCAAGGCCTGAACCGAGCCCCCCTCCTTCTTCAAACTTTCAGCGCGCGCCGCTGATACGAAGAGGCAGTGTATCGGCAACACGCGCACTCGCGCACCGAGAGGACAGCAGACCGATTCCGAGAGTCTCTCTCGCGCCTGTGCGGGACGCCCCATGAGTGCGTCAGAGACAGAGCGACGATGCCCACCCCACAATCAGATCGCCGGATGCCCACCGAGTAGAGTGGCGCCCGGCGCCTGCAATTGGCAATCGCACTCCAAGCCGCCAAGCCCACGGCAAGCCTACAGCATGTGCCAGTGTGCCAGTGCGCCCAGCGCCGGCCCCGCGACCGCACGCCCGACTGGGGCTCCTTCCGAGAGTCGCTCTGTCTCTCTCGCACTCACGGAGCGTCGCGTGTGGGTGCGAGAGAAACAGAGCGACGAAAAACGACTCTCTGCATCAGTCTAGAGCGGCGGGGCCATCGGTGTGCCCCTCTCACGCCGATAAGTGCCGCCCCACGAGTGCGAGGGAGACAGAGCGACGAAAACGACTGTCGGAATCAGTCTGCAGGGCAGGCCGGGCAGGCCGATGACGCGTGAGGCCATCCACGTCGCTTGCACCTGCCGCCGCGCCGTGCCGCCGACACATCGCACGGCGGCGCGCGGCGGCCGCGGCCACAGGCCTGCCGTGCAAATGTGCAAATGGTGCACTGCAGAGGTCCGCGCCTCCGCGCCGCTCCGCGCCCTGCCAGCGACAGGCGAACCACTCGGCAAAAAAAACAGACAACAGACGGCAGGATGTCAAAGCCGCAGGGCCGGGCGACGAGGCGCGGGGCGGTGGCAGTGCGGTAGCAGTGCGCTAGCGCCGTGGCGCGCCACCCCGACCACACCAACACAGCGACAGCCGCCGCGCCCCGCCCACGGCTATTTTAAAGCACTTGATACGAAGGCCTTTCACCCTCCCTTCCCCTCGGCTCGTCTGACACGCACGCGAAAACAACAAGCACGGGCCATTTCGCCGCCACGCCGCCACCAGGCCGCCACTGTCCCCGCGAGTAGCCTCAGAGTAGCCCGGCCCGGCGTGGCCCGCGAGGACCGGGGACAAAAAGCAACGGGGGCGGGGCGGGGCGGGGCGGGGCGGGGGTCCGCACCCTAGCGATTCGCTGTGGCGTGCAGCGCCGAGCAGACGCAGCACCGCGCAGCACCCCGCTCCAGGCCGCCGTCAGCACCGCCATGGCACGCGCCCAGCCGCCACTTTCATCGCTCTGTCTCTCTCGCACTCACGGGGCATGCCGTATGGGTGCGAGAGAGACAGAGCGACGAAAACGACTCTCGGAATCAGTCTGCTGTCCAGCGCCCCGGACGTTCACGTCGACCCGATGGGCACGCCGGAGCACGCCAAGCAGGCCACCAAAGCCAGCGGGCCGAGGCCAAGACCGCCCCCGTCGCCGAGACGGCATGGACACGGGGGAGGGGGAGGGGTACTCGACGACCTTGCCGTGCGCGGCCATGCCAGGCCAGGCCGTGCCACGCCAGGCCATGCACGGCCCGGCTCATGGCTGCACGCCGCGACCCGGCTCAACCGGTACCTGATGGAGAGTCCCATCCCATCCCGGGTAGCTGGCCTGCAGCCTGCAGCGGCTCCAAGAGCGAAGCTGCGAAGCTCTGTGCCGTCGGCAGCCGTCGGCCACATTACTTGGGGCAGGGCAGGCGGGCAGGCCGGGGGTGGGGGAACCAGCATGGGGTAGGTAAGGGCAGAGCCACCAACCACTGCCAACTGCAGCATGCAGCAGCACATGCCTCAGGTGCACTTCATTTAGCTTGGACCTAATGCCATTGATTCGCATGACTGCTTGCCAGCTTTCTTCTTCCACCCCCCCAATTATCTTTTAATAACCTAATTGCCACAGGGAGAGGTGAAGAATGGAAACACGACAGGGATTTGACCATGCAAGGAATATGGATGAATGAACTAGTGCTCAGATCAACACTCAAGTGTAGTTAGAATACAATGGTTCTAACAGGAATACTAATAATAAATAGTTCGACCCTTCATAATAAAACCATCCTAACTTGCCAGGGCACTGGGAGAATATCTTAACTCGTTAAGTTTTGAGTGGGAGTTAGAATGATTTCCCAGCATAGCTGCTTAAGACAGTCTTCTAGTCCCGGGCAAGTTTGGACAGTTTCCAAAAACCCAAGCAAGTTACGGTGGTTTTAATAGGAGGGCTTGAATAAATTTAGGGAAAACCATACTTACCAACAGCGACAGGCTGAGATGCGCTTTTTGCCACAGGGTCTTCCCTAACGTCCACTGGCCGTTCAGTCCTTGACGGGGCTGCTGGTGTTGACACCGAAGCGGGCACTGAAGGTGCAACAGCTGGCACTGCAGGCTTGGGTGCTGCCGGCGCTGAAGCAGCTGGCTTGGTGGGCACTGGTGCCACTGGAGTCGCAGCAGTCGGCTTTGCTGACACCGGCGCAGGAGCAACAGCTGGCTTCACTGACACTGGGGCATTGTTCGCTACGGCTGGTGCAGCTGCACTAGGGGTATTTTCCTTCCCCGTTATGACAGAGGCAGCATTCTTGTTGACAACCCATGGGTTCACTTTAGGCAGCGGAGCTTCGACAAATTTCTGTTTCTCCTCCGCAGGGCTTTCTGCTGAGCTACCTTCATTAGAGCTAGGGGCTGCAGGATTTGCAGCGGGAGCCGCAGTGGCTGGGGTGGCAGATGCTGGGGTGGTGGTTGCTGTGGGGGTGGCGACTGCAGTGGCAGACGCAGGGGTCGATGCAGCGGCAGCTGCGGGGGTAGCTGCGGTAGCTGCAGGGGGGTCCACAACTGCCTGTTGCTGCGAGGGGGCCTTTGCCGTCTGGCCGGTGCCCTTCTCGGCCGACTCCTTGGGGGCCACTTTGTCTGATTTGTCCACACTGTCGCGTCGGACGGGGTCCTTGTTGAGCAGCGCCCCGGCGTACGACGACGTCGCTTCGGCGGCCGGGGCCGGGAGGGCCGGGGATTGAGGCGAGGCCTGCGGGGCAGCAGCTGCAGCTGGGGCGGCCATTTTGCAGGGCCTCTGCCGGAGGTCCCAACCTAGACCTCTGCACGGCTAGCCGGGCCTACGCCGCGTTGGGACAAGGAGCGCAGAGGGTGCGGGTGCAGTGCAGGCGACGCCAGGCGCCACGGAGCGGGGGCGAGCCCGCAGCCTTGGGGTGCAAATTGGCCAACAATATGGTTCACACTGTGGGACGGCGAGCGCCACCAGGCAGCATGGTGAGGGAGGCTGCGGCGGTGAGGTTCGGGGCGCCCTCGACACGACACACACACACTGACACACACGGCACTGTCACGGTCTTGTCTTAACCAGTCACGGCGTCACGACACGAATCACAGTCCGTCTGAAACATGACATCGACGTCAACACTCGGCGCTCAACTTCCACGCCCGGACCTCGGCTGCCTCGGCACCGCACTTCCGCAATGCTTGCTCTGCTCGCGATGCATGCGATCGTGCCGTCAACATAGTAGTCTCCTCCTCGTCGCCAAATCGCGATCGTCGTCGCGTCGTGTCGTCAACTACAAAGTTTGCGGACCGCCGGCGCACGGGAACACGCACGCAGCGCCTAAAACACGTTTCATTATGTTTACACGACACTTTAGGATTCACTTTTTCGCGAGGACGGGCACGAGCACATGTGCTGCGACGACGCTCCGCTTGCCACAAAAACACAAGACAGATGGCGCTGCGGGCGGAGTAACGTGGAAACGTGACAAAACACTCTCGACAACGATCGATTGGTCGACTGCAATTTACGACACACGTTTCAGCTTTTCTAGGGTTCAAGGTGCACCGTGTTTGTGTTTGTGAGGGTAAATGGTTTCAGCGTTCTCTATTCCATTTTTTCAGTCATCTTCCGCTCTTTAAGTTTGTCCTAGAGGGACAACCAAAAAGGGACTCGATCTCTCGAAAGGGTCCTTCGATTCCACTCTCTCCCCAGGCGCGAAGTTCAAATGAGTACGCAAAACACGACACATTTATGATTTATGTCTTTGATGAATGATTGAGACTAAGAGTCAGATACAAGAAAATCTCCGGAAGCACGAGTAAATGTTCCAATTTATTTTCATAAAAACTTTTGTATGAATAAACAACACAAATATACAGGATTCAACAAAGATAATTGTGAAGAAGCAAGAGATGAAACCCTGCAAGTTCAATCCACTTAATGACTTGCATAATGTTTTTTTTGCTCTAACTTTTAAGTTGACATGCACAGAAGTACGAAAAGCCAGTGTTCTCAAGCGTGGCAATGAGCAATGATGTAGGTACTAAGAAACCATGCACAGAAAATATCTTTTTAATTCCCCAGGCTACTGTTACTTTGCAGCTCATGTAGCACCTCTCCAAGGCCTTTGCTTTGCAAATATTTTGAGCAATGAACATTATAAACCTTGACATTACAAAACTAGCTTAAAGTCAGAAAGCATGATGAATTAAAAAAAATCAACAACAAACAGACAAAATATCACCTTTACAACACCAGAGTATTGTTCCTTTATTTTTATGCCACCAAATAAATTGATACCTCGAGATACATTGACATTCTCACTGAGAACACTCAGATTCAAAACTCATTATCTATCCCTAATAAACTTTGTTTCAAAAATTCGACTCAAATCTAACAGTTTGCTTGAGCACCAATTTGATGATTCTTCAATATTTAATTGAAAATGACCTTTTTGAGATCCTAGTCATACATGCTCATAATTCTGGAATATGAGCAAGTGAAGCAATATGTCTTACCTTTCAAAGTCTATTTACTCATTAAAAAAAAAAAAAATCATTGAGTAAAAATGCAAAGCCACAATATTTTTAAAAAGTAGAGATCTGTCTTGTGACGCATTAATACAAAAAGACTGTTGAAAAGCCTAATAAAGTGTGAAATATAAAGAAAAAGCATTTTCAGAAGAACTAAATTTTTCCAAGAGGGGAATTCCAGAAAAATCTTATACAGTTGGTACATGAGGAACAGATTTGCATGTCTTGTGTGCACAGAGGAGTGCTATGGAATAAATGTCAGACTGTTCTGATCTGGTTCCCATATACAAAGTATTCAGAAATATAATTCAATCTCGAATGACAGGTCCTCTTGTGCTTTGGTCCTGGTCAAAAAGTGGTACTGTTTGCAGTCAGTTTTGGTTTCACAGTAATGAAGCTTGGCACAAAAATTAATTCATACAAAATCACATTTGTTAAAATAAGTAAAATATTGAAGAAGTAAATGAAAAACAAATCAAATTTGAGAACTGAATCTTGGTCTGGGAAGATCTCCAAAAACAGTATCACCGTGGACGCTCCGAGCAAGCGCTTTGATGCTGGCAGCAATATCCATGGGATCTTGAGGCAACTGTATTGACAGAAAATAAACCAATAAGAAGATTGTGTTAAAAACTCTAAATGAAGCAGAAACAGCAAGAAAATTTCTTGGCTTACGTCTTCTTCCTCCTCAAAATCATTTCCATGATTGCGTGCACCAGGAAAAACAGGGACGGAAACAGGCAAGGATTTGGCAAGAATTGACACATTGGACTGTGTCCTTGAGATGTTCATTCCCCCCTCATGGCTTTCATTATCAGCTGAACAGCAACAGAAAATAATATTTAAAGGGCAACTGATACAATAATAAATAGATAAATAATGGTCAAAACACCTAAATCAAAGTGTACCTTCAGTATCTGTTTCATCTTCAGAGTGGAAAGTGTTAGGAGGATTTTCATCCATACCATCTAGCTCAAAAAGTCCTTCACTGTCTGCTGCGTCAAAAGCAACTTCATTTGGGGTTTTGACTGATGGCACAGGTCTTGGCTCGGTTTTAACCTGCAATCATCAAAAAAACATAGTAAAATATTTGTGAAGCTAAGATGATGAGAGCAGTGAGGATTAAATTGGTGAAACATCTTACAGGAGAAGAATTCACTTTTGGGTTCGAAAACCGCCGATTGGTCGAATCTCTGGATCTTGATGTATTTTGGTTTAGCGGAGCCATGGGGTGACGGATTTCATCCCCATCTAGCTGCAGTTTTTGAGGTGGTGGTGGTAATGAGATAAATTTATTACTCCTTGATGGGAAAACATGGGATTCAACACTGGTCTGTGAAGATGGTGCTTTCCCGCTTTCACTTTCCATCAACAGCCTAGAATAAGTAAATTTGGTCATACATTTATTTGCCCTCAATTTTTATTGCATTGCTAATAATAATAATAATATAATAATAAAAATAGTTTTACCTTGCCAATGCCCTATGGTCTTCGTGGGCTTTGCCTCTGAACTCCTCCAGTTCAGCATACTGCTTTTCCGAGTATTGACGAACCTTCTCTTCAACTGATTGTGCCTCTCTCTGTAAGGCCTCAGTGAGCTGCTGATGGAGAGCAGCCAGTGTGGTCTGCATTCCTCCTGTGGCATGAAAGTCTGTACAAATGATAATAAGACAATGTCATAATTCTCACTCGAAACTGTCCAGCCATGGTCAAAGCATTTAAGTCGAAACCACTAAAAATCTAAGTTTTATCAAAACTTTGATTTAGTGAACAGACTAAATCTAGGGGAAAGGGTCTCATCCCCGTAAGAGAGGAAATCATATGGCGGTTCAACTGTACTGATCACCTTCTGAACATTACCTGAAATGTTTTCCTCAAAAGCATCAGTATCAATATTGCTAGTGACGACAAGACGGAACACCGGGGAATAAGAAGAAGACGACTTAAGAGCAGCAATCACTGTTTTATCACTCTGCAACAGAAAAGTCAAACATATAATGTTGCTGCCACATACCTGCTCAAATACCACGTTTCATTTTCCCAAATTGCTCACCAAAGTGTTACAGTTGATCAGAACAGAGGCTGCCCCCCGCTCACGGTGAAGAGCATGAGTGTCAATGCTACAGTTAATACACCTGTGTATTATCCAACACGCCACATTTCGAACATGGACAAGACATGGCTGCTCTTTGGCAATGCTTAGAATTTCTGCTTCAACAACATCCTGCAATGAAATGATCAAAAGAAGTACAAGGGCATAGTGACTTGAAAAGCAGAGGAATGATATGTTTCACAAAGGAAAAGACAATCAATTATAAACAATAGGAACGCTGAACTGCAAGGTATACTACAATTTAATACTTCTTGAAAATAGAATACTTCAGTCACAGAAGATCAAAACGGAGAAGTAAAATCCAAACACTGACAAAAAAATTTTCATTTGTAAACAAATTCTATATGGACAAAAGCAACGCAGGAGAAGCAAGCTATGGCCATGCTGACAGGTTAGCCTTTTACCACATATTACCTCCTTGAAAAAAGGATCACTGCTGTCAAGCACAGGAGCAGACAGACTCAAAACATCCACTTTGGGCAGGTCGGCTGTCTTTGCTTTGATGGTAATATTTAAACATTTGCAGCAAAACATTTCCGTCGAGTGTTTCACCAAGTCCGATTCAGCCAGCGACACAAAGCCTTCGTGTGGTGCAGGGAGAATATAAGAGCGCAGCGCTCGTGGAACATTAACTGGTCAACTAATAAATTGCACAGGCTGCCTAAATAAAGGTATCGTGGAAGGCCTGACACGAAAAGCCTTTGCTGGCGCTCAAAGGTTTGTTTCTCTAACGTTGAGGCATTAGTTGGTGTTGTGTTTAGAAGAAAAACCTCGGACGAACAGCTGATGGTAGACGGCAACACCGTGCACCTGCAGCTGCCGTATTTGCAGAGCGGAGAGGACTGTAAATAAAGGCTCATTGCAGATGTCGCTGTCGGTCGTCGGCCGTCCATTGAACGGCAGGCTCGCAAAGTCGTTGTGTACAAGGACTTCAAATGAATGGAAAAGTCATTCATTAGGTCATTTCACTGGTCACATTTAGAAAATGCGTGTTTAATAACAAACCGTGAATGAAACTGAAAATTCTAAAAACACGCGCCTCACTCGTACCAACTCATTACAGCCAGTTGATAGTGAAGATTGTAAGTTGAAAGCATCCTTCATCAGCGTAATATGACAAGGACATTTCAAAATGAAAATGAAATTTGCGTTCAGGTGACTAAAAGAACCAGACTTTCCAAAATTTTGAAGTTTTTATCTTCCAGACAATTCTTTACGTTGCAGGTTTTGGAAGGGCGGTTTTCCGATCGTCAACTCTTGTCCAAACCCACATTCTTGTCTTCTTCGCTGTTCAGTGTTCGTTCATTGACATAACTGAGAAAACCGTAACCGTCGTGACCGTCAGTCCTTCCAGATCGCCCGCAATTTGCATCGAAATTCGGTGTCTTGGTGCCACCAGTGTGAAACAGAGTGAGCCGATTTTTGCATCCTTTTCAAAATCAAGTAAGTGTTGTCTCTGTTAGTTATGCTGTCCAAGGCGCCTCTCTCAATCGAATTGGGACTGAACGAAGGAAAGTTGGTGTCCCTCTCGTCCTTTATCGATTGAATGAGTCTTTTCTCTAGAACCGGGCACCGTTTTATTTATCAGTTACGAGTTGCCGTTAATAGCAATCGTCGACCAAGTTATGCAAATGCTTGCCGCTGCCGTCTGCATTGTCTTTGCCAAACGGTCGTCCGTACACAGGAGACCCGTTTGACGCGGGAACTGGAACCTCATGGTTTTTCTTTTGACGTTTTTGTCGTTGGGATCGGCATAAAGACGGTATTTGTTCATTCGGCAGCAGCCTGCGCTGTTAAATATTGAGAGGGCGATGCGTTTCGTCGTCCGACTGCCGCCATCAACCCACCATGAAGGTTGATTCATGACTTGTTCATGCCTATTGGCTCAGGGAAAACTCAACCAAAACAAACTTTTCTTTGAGTTTGTGGAAGTATTGTGACTTCTATGTCAATCTGTACGGCTTCTAAATTACTTTTTTGTTAGGGACCTATGTAATGATGTCATTGTCAGGTATCAATCGCTTCATTTGTTTCATTGTTATTTCTCTTATTTTCCAGTTGAATCATGGAAGAAGACACAGAGTATTTGAAGTTGCCCATAGAAGATCGATGTGTACACAAGGTAACATTCTTTGTTATTAATGATCACATTTTCAATGAAATTATGTCTCACTTGAGTGAATTTGATTACAGTTGTGGAAGGCACGGTTGAATGGATACGAAGAGGCAGCGAAGTTATTTAACAAAATTGACGATGAAAAGTCGCCAGAATGGAACAAATTTTTGGGATTAGTTAAGAAGTTTGTTACTGACAGCAATGCTGTTGCTCAGGAAAGAGGTCTGGAAGCCACTTTGGCTTTTGTTGAGAATTGTGGTTCTGCTGGCAAGTAAGTGGGTTTGCCATTTTTATTGTTGGTCGAGTTCAATCAGTCCATGACTTGCTCATATTTGTTTTTCAGAACTGCCAGTGATGTGGTTGCCAGTATTGTTGCCAAAAGTATTGCTGCTCCCAAAACAAAGACCCGAGAGTTGTCCCTCCAGATAATCTTGATGTATGTCGAGATTGAGAAGCAGGAAGCTGTGCAAGAAGAGCTTATCAAGGGTATGGATCATAAAAATCCAAAGATTGTATCTGAATGTGTGTCAGCAGTCACTCAAGCTTTAAGGTATATAGGGCTTTTTATTCCATTCTGTTATCTTTTTTTTTTTGGCTTTTGCTCTTCATTTGAATGGTGTCCCATTGTGCTTTTAACAGGGAGTTCGGTCCTAAAGTCATCACTATTAAACCACTTGTCAAGAAAATGCCCTCACTTCTTGAAGACAGAGATAAAACTGTGAGAGAAAACGGAAAAGCAATGGTTGTTGAAATGCATAGATGGATTGGACCTGCTCTGAAACCGCAGTTATCATCATTGAAGCCACTTCAGGCAAGTTACTTCCCTACTTTATGTCTTCCTTTGTCCCTTTGATCAACAAGCTGTCTAATGTATTTTCTTTTCTGTTTGATAACAGGTTACTGAACTTGAAACAGAATTTGAGAAAGCCAAAAACGAAAAGGTTTTGCCCACTCGCTATTTGCGCTCTCAGCAAGCAAAACAAGCAAAAGCTGCTGCCGAGGCTGCAGAGGCTGGTGAAGACGGGGAGGATGAGGCGGACAATGATGCTGCGGTGGAAATAGATCCCTACGAGCTGATGTCAGCGGTAGATATTTTGTCGAAGTTGCCCTCTGGCTTTTATGAAAAGGTGGAAGCCAAGAAGTGGCAAGAGAGGAAAGAAGCTGTTGACGAGCTTGAAACACTTCTCCAGAAGTCCCCCAAACTAGAAAGTGGAGACTATGGTGATTTAGTGCGAGCACTGAAGAAGGTATGGACATGGGTCTTCTCCTTTTAATGTTGTTAGTGCCTTACCTTATTTTATTTCATGGATGACTTATCTGTGCCTCCATAGATCATTTCCAAAGACTCGAATGTCGTTGTTGTTACTGTTGCTGGGAAATGTCTTGCGGGCTTGGCCAATGGTTTGAAAAAGCGGTTTTCTCCGTACGCTTCGGCTTGCATACCAGCACTGCTGGAAAAATTCAGGGAGAAAAAAGCAACTGTTGTGGCTGCAATCCGAGAAGCCATTGATGCTGTGTTCCTTAGTGTAAGTATTTTATTTTATTCTTGAAATCCTATGTTTTCCGATGTATCATTAATATTTCAATTTGCATTGTAGACGAATATCGAGAACATTCTAGAGGATGTCTTGGCCGCTCTGGAAAATAAGAACCCTTCTGTAAAATCAGAAACTGCAGCATTTTTGGCTCGCTGTTTTACCAAGTGCACTGCTGTCATGCTGAATAAGAAGTTACTCAAAAGTTATTCTGCCGCTCTGATAAAGGCTTTAAATGAACCTGGTAAGTTTTTCTTGAGGCATTCAAAAGTCCTAAAGTTTTTCTTCGTTTTACTATTTTGTACTCCTGTTTTAGATCCTTCTGTCAGAGACAATGCTGCGGAAGCTTTGGGCACAGCATTAAAGGTGGTTGGAGAGAAAGCCTTGATGCCTTTTGTCAGTGATGTGGATAACTTGAAGATGGCAAAGGTAGGTTTACTGTTAAGTTTTTGCTGTCTATTATCAATGCCCTAGGTCTTGTCATAATTTTCTTACTGTTTATTTCTATTTCCTGGTTAGATTCGAGAGTGTTGTGAAAAAGCTGTTATTGTAGCGAAACCTGCAAAGGCTGCTCCACCAGAGAGACCAAGCACTGCTCCTGCAAAGAGTGCTGCTCCTTCAGCTGCTAAGCCTCAAGCTGGGAGTTCTGCACCGAAACCTGTGAAGAGGCCTGCGACCAGTGCTGGGCCAGCCCGAAAACCAGCTGCTGCAGCTTCTGCTGCTGGTAAAAAAACTGCACGTAAGTTTTGTTTGTACAATTGATTCTTTGATTAACCTCCTCTTGTTAGCAACCAATTAATTTTCTAAATTTAACTTAACAATAATTGGTATTGCAGCCAAGGCTGGTAAAGAGTCGAAGCTTGCTCAGGAGAAGGATCTCAGTCAGGAGGAAGTTGATGAGAAAGCTGCTGAACTGCTCTCAGCTGAAATTCTAGTGGATTGGCCGATGGTGTTTGGAAAAATCGCCTTGCAGCTGTTGAAGAATTTGATCGGGTAATGTACAAGTTTTCTCCATAAAGTCTGTCAATTTCAAATATTTATGGTCTTTTTTTCACTTTAAGAATGACAATTTCGATTTTCAGGCTGTGAAAGTAATGGAGAAAGAGGATGCCCAAACTCAAGTACTTGTTCGAACTCTACACAAGAAACCTGGTTTGAAGGACACCAATTTCCAAGTTCTTAAAGCTAAACTAGAAGCAGTTAAATACATAGCTGAAAATTTCATCATTACAGTGTATGTTGTCTTTAGTCTTTGAAATTGGTTAATGAACGGACACAGGCCTGTTGCAATTGCTTTAATTGTATCTCGTATTTTATTTTCAATGACCTTTCAGGACTACAACAAATTACATTTTGAATGACATTGCTGAGAAATTGGGAGATGCCAAAAATGGTGCCATATCAGCTGAAGTTCTGACTGCATTAGCAGAGGCCACAAAGCTTGATCATGTTGCCTCTGAAGTAATAGAATATGCCTTCAACAAACAGAAGAGTCCAAAGGTTCAGCAAGAAGCATTGAATTGGCTTTCTCAAGCCCTTCTGGAGTTTGGATTTGTGCAAGTATCTGGGATATCCAGTGAGGATGTGTTCATGATGTCACACTAATCATTCTTTTTCTCTGTTTTCAACAGTGTGCAACCAAAAGCTCTAATAGACAATGTGAAAAAAGCTCTTGCATCTAACAATCCTGCTGTTCGAACATCAGCAATCCAGCTTTTGGGTACTTTGTATTTGTTTATGGGACAGCAGTTGAGTTTGTTTTTTGAGAATGAGAAACCAGCTTTAGTTCAGCAAATCAATGCTGAGTTTGAAAAGGTATGGCTAAAATTTTTTGCGATGTATTCATCTGAAACAAAAGTGCTCTATTTGACCTCAATTTTTTTCATTCAGCGTGCTGGTGAGAAGCCACCTGCTCCGATAAGGGGTCTTTCAAAATCAGACTCAACAGACTGTGACCCATCTGATGATGGTGATGCTGATGCGCCCCAGGAAGCAATCAATGTACAGGACCTCCTTCCTCGAGTTGACATAGGGCCACAACTCACCTCTGCTATCATCAATGAGTTGTCTGATAAAAACTGGAAGGTATTACAAGCTGCTGCTACTTCTCTTTGAAACTGACTCTGTACGTGTGAAATGTCATGTTTGTTTTCTTTGTCTTAGGTGAGAAATGAAGCTTTGCAGAAAGTTACTAATATTCTATCTGAAGCTCGTTTCATCACGGGAAGCTTGGGGGAACTACCTCCTGTACTTGCGCAACGGTTGGTGGATTCAAATGCCAATATTGCTGCAGCTGCAATGAGTATCTGCCAAAACCTTGCAACTGCTATGGGGCCGGCTTGTCGGCAACATACTCGAACTTTTTTCCCTGGTTTGCTGCAGTGCATGGGTGACAGCAAGGTAAATGGAAATGAAAGTGGACATTGCCCTATTCTGTGGCCTTATTAGTAACTTGACTAAGCCACGTTTAATCGAAAATGTTGCAGCCTCGTATCAGGGCCACTGCTGTTGCATGTGTCAACACGTTTGGAGAGCAGGGAGGTTTCAAAGAGTTCTTCGAGGGGGAAGTGATTGCTGATGGTTTGAAAACTGGATCACCAGCTCTTCGTGTGGAGTTGTGGAATTGGCTTTCTGAGCGTCTACCATTGAGTTAGTGTTTCTTTTTTATGACTCTTAAACTGATACTTTAGTGGTTTTGGGTCATTGTCTAATTTTATTTTGTGGCTCCTCCAGTGAAAGCTGTTCCCAAGGATGAACTCATCGCATGTCTTCCTTATTTGTACTGTAACTTGGAAGACCGCAATGCCGATGTTCGCAAGAATGCTCAGGAAGCAACTTTAGGTGTAATGATTCATGTTGGATATGAAGGAATGCTCAAGGCAACATCATCTTTGAAGGTTTATTGAAACTTTGGGCTCACCCACTTTTTTCTCTATCTGAGGCAAGCTGGACATTCCCTTTACCCTCTCTTCTCCTCCTTGATTTCAGCCTGGTTCTCGTAATGTTGTTGTGACGCACCTGGATAAAGTACGGGCTAATCTACCTGCCAAGCCAGCACCAGCTAAAAGTCGTGCAATTCCTTCATCACAAAGTGATGACCAAATTGCAAACAAGGCAGGTGCAAAGACAATTAAGTCTCCTAATTCCAAAACAGTAATCAGCAGTGGAACTAAAACCATCACAAAGTCAAAGGTAAGAATTCTCTGTAAGCTGCATGCTGCATGCTTGACAATTCTCTTTGAGCCCAACAAATGACTGTTATTTTTACTTTTCAGTCGGGATCTGCAGTCAAACCAGTAGCCCGAAAGAAGGATGAAGATGTGGACACATCTCCACTTCTTCAGGTGAACATTTTGAAAAATCAGAGAGCTATTGATGAGCAGAAATTGAAGGTGAGATTCAGAGTGAAAGTGACTGTTCTCTAATACATGTTATTGAAGTTTGCCTGAAAATTAATCTGTGTGGTGGTGATTTGTTACACATTCCAGGTTCTTAAGTGGAATTTCAATACTCCTCGAGACGAGTTTGTGGAACAACTCCGGGATCAGATGAATACAGCTTGCTTTAACCGAAATCTTACCACAAATATGTTCCACTCGGATTTCAAATTCCACCTGAAGGCAATTGATATGCTTATTGAGGTTGGTCTTCATTTTTGCTTGGCTTTTGCCTCTTATGTTGATAATTTGGAAGGAGCATCAGGATGCACTACTTTCGGCCTTTTGTTTGAATGTTATGTTGTTTATAGGATCTCCCAGACAATGGCAAAGCTTTGACATGCAATTTGGATTTGATTCTCAAGTGGATGACTTTACGGTTCTTTGATACTAATCCATCAGTGCTTCTGAAAGGATTAGAATACCTGCAGACAGTGTTCAACATGTTAATTGATGAAAATTACAGTATGTTGGAAACTGAAGCAGCTTCATTTATACCTTATCTTATTCTGAAGGTAAAAATATTTTGCTGCTCATTTTATGTTAGTTAAATCAGTTTACCTTTTAATTTAATGTCCCTGCTTCATTTAGGTTGGTGATCCCAAAGATGCTGTAAGGCATAGTGTCAGAGCCCTATTTAAGCAAATTGGCCAAGTGTACTCTGTTAGCCGTCTGTTTTCACACATCCTTGACGGATTGAAGTCGAAGAATGCCAGGCAGCGAACAGAATGTTTAGAGGAGTTAGGGTCTTTGATAGAAAATTATGGGATCACTGTATGTACACCATCTGCTGCTGTGGCTTTAAAGGAAGTTGCCAAGCAAATTTCTGACAGGGACAATGCTGTGCGCAATGCAGCGTTGAACTGTGTTGTCCAAGCTTTCTTCTTGGAAGGTGAAAAGGTGTACAAAATGGTTGGCAATATATCAGACAAAGATATGTCTCTACTAGAGGAACGTATAAAGCGAGCAGGCAAGAACAGGCCCGCTACTCGAGCCCCATTAAATCCTGTTAGACCATCACTTGCTCCCCTTTCTCAACAACCTGCTCAGCCCTCTCCTCCTCAAGATGTTCAAGAAGATCAAGAACCAGAGGAAGAAGAGGAGGAACCAATTGAAAATCATCAGCCAGTGATCGAGCAGAAGCCTCCGCCAGTGTCTGGTCCATTTGGGTTAGATATGGACTTCATTGAGAAAATAGAAACTGGAAAACCAACAGACCATAAAACAAGCCTGCTCAAGGTTGACTTGTCAGGACTCTATGATGGATCTGACAACGCAAAGTCTAACAACTTAAAAAGGGAAACTCATGGCAGAGTATTAAATGCCTTGAATATTCACAACTCTCCCAAAACAAGTCCCTTGTCTGATGTACTGAAGGATTTGAACTTATCTAGGCTGCAGAAGCCACAGCAGCCGAGAGATCCTGTTGAAGATTTGCTGGACCGATCCCTAAGTTTGATTGCTGGATCGGATATGGACAAATGCAAGGAAACACTGGTGCAGGTCGATTATGTGATGAGATCAGACAAGGTGCATGTGCTCGTGCCAAGAGTTGATCAACTGATGTCTTGTTGCATTGCTCAAATGCGCACTATTGGTTTATGCAACACTGTGTATTCAAAGGAAGAGCAAATATTTGTCCTTCGGGCACTGTTCGCAGCACTCCATTCTTTTTATAGCCAGCCAATTCTGTCTAAACAAGTGTCCATGGCAGATATCAGGGAGTCTATTGTCGTCATGGTGAGAATGTTGGCTGAAAAGCGTTTGGATGGTCTGTCTGATTCGGATAATTTTGTTCAACTTGTAAATATGCTTGTCATGGTTATTATTGACAAAGCTGACCACACTAGGGTAACTTGGTGAGTATCATTCATTTGTATAATTCTTCATTTATAAAAACGTTTCCAACAATTTTTTTCTTTTTTTTCGCCGCAGTGCTCTGCTGAAACTTCTTCATGAATCTGTTGAGAGAGGTGAACAGTGGCCTGCTAAAATGCAAGAGTTGATTATGAAGTGCATCTGGAAAGTTGTCCGCTCGTTCCCGTCTTGGGAGCCCGACATTGACTATGAACCTATTATTTGTGACATTCACAGTTTCCTAAAGGTCAGTAGCCCTATTTTTTTACTTTTTTTCAGTCATTGTGAAACTAACAAAAATTGCCTTTTTTACAGTCCTTCCCAACCCGAATGTGGAAACAGGCTCAGTCAGATGTCCCATTGAGAACTGTCAAGACTCTGCTGCATGCCATGGTGAAGCAAAGGGGCACCAAGGTGCTCATGTACATGAACTGCATCAATGAACCTGCAGAGTCAGAATTGGCTATCTATGTGAATAAATTTATTAAGGTGACTCTTTTTATCTGTTGCCATTTTTCTCACTGTGCTTCCACTGTGCCTTCATTATTTGTTGTCGATGTTTCAGACTGTTAAACAAGATGATCAGAAGGCAAAAGAAGATAAATCATCTCCCCAACAACGCCTCTCAAAAGACACACATGAAGAGTTAGCTGGAATCTTCAAGAAAATTGGATCCAAAGATCACACTCAGGAGGTACATTTGTAATTGTGCCTTTTATAATGTCTTATGCATACTGTTTTTGAACAGTTAATTGTACAACTCTGTCTTTGCAGGGTTTACGGTTGTTGTATGAATTTAAGGAGCAGCATACAGATGCTAGCATTGAACCATTCCTCAGGAAGTCAACACAATTCTTCAGAGATTATATTCAGAGAGGTCTTGCAACTATTGAACTAGATCGTCGGCGACAGGCAGCAAGTCCTGCATCAGTATTGAGGCCCACCACAACCAGTGTCTCAAACAAAGCCCCAGTGCTTTTAGACAATGCATGCAGCATTGGTGATGGCAGTTCTGATGATCATCCAGACCCACAGTACTATGCTCAGAGATTGCGTGCCCTGCAGCAATGTGCTGGCTTTGAAGTCTCCAATGCTGTTTCAGCTCCCACAAAAAAAGAACAGACTCTGGATCTGGAGGCGCAGCTAGGCTTTGACCAGAATCTGAATTTTAATTCTCCACGAGAAAATGCAAATGAGGTTAGTTTAATTATTCTAATCATACTGTATTTTATTATTTTTTAAATTATTGTGAAAGGTTAAGGATTTAGTAAACTGTTGTTTAATTATTTTTTCCCCCTTTTGTAGATAAGCACTCCATCACGTCGCAATGATTTTTCAAGTTGTGAAGCACTGCGCAGGAGACTTGAAGAAGTGAAAAGTTCCGCAAGATGAGGACAAGTGGTCCCTCCATTGCTCCCGGTTTCTTTTTCCCTATTTATTTTTAATCAACATTTTACTCCTTAATGTAGTGGTACATAAATCTGTACCGCAGAAATCTTAAACTAATCTACTTAGATCTTTGTTTTAGACTTATTTTGTCTGCCCTGTAAAATTAGATGAACAGAGCCTTGATCTCAGGAGGTGTGTTCTCAATTTGTGGTCTGAAGTTTGTTCAGTGGTATGTTTATAATGGAATTGTAACCATGCATCAGTAAGTGCCTCCCTCATTATTTTACTTTATAATACAGGTTTTTGTGAAATTCTTTTCAATTGATGTGCTGTGATAAAGATGTTGTGAAAGGTATCAATTGTTACTGGAAAGGGAGGATGTGTGCTACATGTTAACATTTTAACCTGTTGAACCTTGGCCCTCTAGTGGCTTTTTAAGTGCTGCAACTTAATGTCCTATGATTAACTACTATGAAGCCTTAATAGAATTAAACAGAATAAAGCAGTTTTAACATTTATCTCTTTGTTTAATTCCATCCACACATGTTGTAACCATCATAAGTTAATTGCCAGAAACAGACAAAAGTTGATCTCTTACAACCTGCTACTTATTTGCTGGACATTTTACAATTGAGAGGTTTGCTTGGTTTGAAACCCACAATACTCTATTCATATCAGTTGGCACTCCATATTTCAATAAAAAATTATTTTAGCACAAGTGGAGGTCTTATCCTCAGATAAGGGGCCCACAATTGACAAAAGGAAGGGTTCAACTTCAAATGATGGAACCCAATATTAAGTTGATGTTCTGAGCCCTCAGGCAGTAACATGATTTAATAATACATAGCACCACAGGTACAAAGTTTAGATGAATTTCATTGGAAAGTTAAAATGGAATATTGAAGCTAATGATCGTATGCTTCTATGATGAAACCCAGACACATCCTGGGAACATATTAAAGAAACTAGTTCTATAAATAAGGAACAGGGATGTAACTTAAAATATTAACATAAGGGTTCTCATTTTTTAAAAAATTATAATTCTATCAGTCAACATTAGCTGGAAACATTCATCTTCATAAAAAAGAAGGGGCAGAAATTATTAAAAAGTATCCACTAAAAGAAATATCACTTGCAGGAAACTGCGATCCATCAGGTTTTAAGATGGAAAATACAACATATCAATACATTGCAATGCCAGCACTATACAAGATCAGATCATAATTAACATTGTGGCATAAAAGATGTAAAACTCGCTCACAGAATACTAAAATTTTACAATCAATTTCAAATGTTTTGACAAACTCTTTTGTTTTGTTTTTTTACTTTTGTTCAAAATCTTCCTGGACACATTTTTACAACTCTTCCTTCTTTGGTTTTCCCTTCCTGTCAAAGCTCTTCAGTTCATCAGTAGCGTGCTTGGCGACGTAAGAAACAAAGTCATCCACCTCGCGGCCACCCTAAGAGAGAACAAAAATTGTATTGGTAAACTGTGATACAAATAGCAAGTCAACTGTAATTAGAGGAAACACAAAACATCAGTACCTCATATTTGACTGGCTTGGACTTGCTATTTTTGGGAACCCAGTAAAGTGTGGGGAACCCTCGCACTTCAAATGGACTGGGCACATCATTGTTGGAAGCATCCATCTTCACAATTTCAACATCTTCATCCTTCAACTGTGAGCATAAAAAAATGAGCGTCAGTTCCACATTTAGCTCCAAATCATTGCACAGAAAACATTCAATCTCACACCATCTTGCACACAAGAAATAATTCTTACCTTTTCTCCAACCTCATCCCACACGGGCGCAAGTTTCTTGCAATGTCCGCACCAGGGGGCATAGAACTCAATCAGGATGTCCTTGTCATTGTTGGTGACAATTTCATCAAAGTTCTTAGCAACAGCCACCTTGACTGGGCCGCTGTTGTCATCAGGGATAGGTTCAGACTTGAGGAAAGGCTCAAGAGAACCAGCCTGAAGGTCCTTGAGGAACTGCTCAAATGATTCCAAGCTGCAAAGGAGATAAGATAAATTAAACCATTCAATTAAGTACACAATAAAATTTCATGACGTCAAAGAGTTATGCATAGAAGACTTACGAGAATTCATCCTTCATGATGAACTTCTGGTCCTTGGCATTGCGGGCAGCAATCTTAGGCTTGTCACCAGGAACGTAATCAATCCCGAACTCATTGAGTTCATGTTGGAAGTCATCCTTGGAGCAAATGGCGAATGTGAAGCTGTCAGCATAGTTCTGGGCAACCTTCAAAATCCTGTTTCTCCAATAGTTGGTGCCTGACAGGGTTGAGAAAGAAAAAAAGTAAGATACATTGATACTTCTTTGCTTGAGGAGCAAGATAATAAGGATGTGCAGTCACCTTTAACATTCTTGACATAGTCAACATTGTAGTAAGCAAAAACTGCAGGGCTTTTGAAGTCATTGATTGAGTCCCTCTGGCGGTGTCCAACAAGACCATGGCTGCAATTAGGAAGAATTTGATATGAATTTCAAAGGTTCCAAAGTATTAAAAACATAAGAAACAATTATTTTTTTTAAATGGCAGCTTGAAACAACTTACAAATTCTTATGAATGAACTTTTCAAAACTGTCCACATTAGCATCTCCTTCATAGGTGATGAAGTTAGGCTCAAATTTGCTCTGCATCTGAGGTGGGCGGAAGAGAACAACAGTGTCGGACCTGAAAAGGCAAAGCAGTTAGTATACTGAGATGAAAAATGCGCCTTGGAATAAGAATATGTCTAAAACATGAAAAAAAAAGCTTACTTGGCCGACTGCTTGTCAAAGATTTCTTTAGAGGAAGTGTGGGCAAAGCGGACCTTTTCACGTAATTTATCAGCAAGCTTCAGGTAAATTGACTTCAGACTGGAGTCGGAATCAAAGAAACCAACTAGGCCAACATCAGACTTGGAAATAAAATCGGTGAATGCCTTAACGGAGGTGAGCTCCACAGCGCTGGGTCCGACCTGAGCCCTCATGTACTTGACAATGCCATCTACATTTGACAAAACAGATGAGTTAGTCTTACAAACTGGGAAGACGAACCACGAAGTGAAAGAAATAGAGGAGGCTTACTGGCTTCACGAGGTCCGTTGTAATCCTGAGACACTTCCCCATTGCGGAAGATCTTGAGTGTGGGGTAGCCAGTCACACCGAACTTGCCGCAAGTGTCCTTGCCTGCCTCAGTGCAGTCCACCTTGACCAGGGCGATTGGGGGATCGTTGCCGACGAGCAGCTGGGCAGCCTTTTCGTACTCGGGCTTCAGTCTCTTGCAGTGGCCGCACCTGTTAAGCAAAACAGAGAGGATGGAAATGTCACTTGGTGTCATTGCCCCAGGGGAGGCAGTGCCGGCTGCCGGCCGGAGCCTCGACGCCGACCGGCAGCGCCGCCGAGCATTTGGACTCGCACTCGGACTCACCAGGGCGCGTAGAACATGACCAGGGCGGTCTCCTGGCCAGCGACACCCGAGGCGAAGTCATCGTCTCCCCAATCCAGGACGGAGTCTGCGGATGCGACGACCGCCAGAGCGGCCAGCACCGCGGCGATCCTCCACACAGCCATGGTCAACACTTTCTGGTTCTCGTTGTGCAGGGGAACGTCGCACGTCCCCGTCGCCTAACAGTGTTCGGACAAGTGATCAGTGCCAACGCACCAACGACTTGACACCGCTACCGCTGACTCGGACTCTCGGGGACCAGATCCGCTCCGGCCGGCAACCTGCACTTGAAGACGACGAACTACACTACGACAGATCGCCTTTCAAGCGAAAGGTGCCGTCATCGGGCGTGTGTCGCTCTCCCATTGGTCAGCGCTGGAGAGGAAACAAAAGACGGCCGGAATGCAGTGTGGCTCCGTGGCCCGGCAATCCAGCAGCACGCAAAGCAACGCACTCGGACGCCTGCACTGGCGCTCAGGGTACTGTTCAGACGTCAAGACTAGAAAATGCTCGCCAGGGGTAGAGCCTCAGTTTGTATCTCAGTCGAAAAGACTCGCTGTTCTATCTTTGTCTGTTTTGCTTCGTCGCCACCGTTGGCCTGATTGGGTCGCAAAGAGCGGGAAGATTCAAAATTCTGTTTAGTTTTTACCTTCAGTCCCCCTGTAATTTTTTTTAAATTTCGTGTAAAAATTCCACGACACAGCAAAGAAATCAGATAGTCAATACATTCCGTCGATACAATTACATCATTATTGACAAGTCGGCTGCTTCTTTGAATATTTGTTCACTCCTTCATCACCGTGGCATATAATGTTGTGCTCTATCTCAAAATCAATGCAGCTGTCTCTCGGGTTAACTTGACCGATTGGAAAAAGTTTGATCTCACATGAATGAAGTCGGAGATACTCCGCGTCGCGCTGCGCCGCAGCGCGTGGGGTAGCGACATACGTCTTCGTGCAGCCGCGTGCGTTGGGTGGCCTAAGCGGCAGGCGCTCCTCTGCTGGTTCCGTTTGTTTGTTTACCTTTTCCTTCCCTTCAGGCGGCAGAAGAATGGAATGACAACATTCTCGGTCACAATTTATGCAACTCCACGTCACAAGTGTGTACGGACACGAGTGTGAAATTTGGTCAGTAGTTAGGCCCCAGTGGCGGGCCCTAGCGGCCCCAGTCCGGGTCCGCCCCTGTCCCGACACGGCGTGCTAGAGGCACGGCACCGGGTGGGGGTCGATGCCTTCGTCTGTTTCCGTACGCAGCTCGGGTGCGCGGCGCGGCGCTTCGGGAGGGGCGGCGGAAAGGCGAAAGGCGGCGGTGGGGGATGACAGTGGAGTGGCGGCCGTGGGGGCGGGAAGGGTGGCGGCGGCGGCGGCGGCGGCGGGTTGTTGTCCTGTTGCTGCTGCTGCGGTGGAGGCGGACCGGCGGGGCGGACTGGCTGCGCTGCGCGGAAGGAGGAAGGCGTGCGAGGACCACGACACCGCAGCAGACGGAGTTAGGCCGTGCTCGCGCAAGGACCGGTCGTCGCGCCGCGTTCGCCCCGCTCCGCCCAGCCGGCGTTCGGTTCGCTTTACGAGGGAAAGATCGCGTGGTGTTCCGTGCCGCTCGTTGCCGTCGACTCAGTGCGTCTCGCGTGATCCGTGGCGGTGTCACCGCGAGTGCACAGCCCCTGTGGAGCGAGTGCTCGTTCGGAACCTGTGACTTTTGGATACCCCGCCCCTGGACGTCTTGCCGTGTCGACGCCGGACCGCACCGCTGCCAGCCTTGGTGAGTGCACGCAGTGCACTGCACGCTCCACGGGGAAGTCCGGACCGCGCCGGCGGATGGCTTCATCGCGGGGCAAAAACGAGACGTAGTAAGAAACCGCCCCTTGCTCGTTGCTTGGCCGTGTAAATAACCTCCAGCAGACTGATTCCGAGAGTCGGTTTCGTCGCTCTGTCTCTCTCGCACCTTCAGCGGACGCCCCGCGAGTGCGAGAGAGACAGAGCGACGGAAGCGACTCTCGCAAGGAGTCTGCAGGGCGCGCGGGGGGCGGGGGCCGCTTGTTCTGGACCACCACACTATCAACAGCCTCGTGGCGCAGCGTGGCGGTTCAAGGGGAGCCACCGTAATTCTGCCGTTTTTGTCATGATTTTCCCGGGGCGGCGACTCGACTCGCAGCGGGGAGGAGGGACCCTCGGCGCCCTCGGCCCGGGAAGCACTTTTCGGACCGAAGAAACGGCCGAGATGCGCGCGGACGCGGGACTTTCGGCCGAAGGGCCTACACCGCTAGTGCCCGCGCTGGGCTGCGCTGGCCCGCCCTCTCCATTTCGCCGCCGCCCCCCGCCGGGCCTGATGGCTGCGTCTCTCTCCCCCTCTTGCGCGACAACGAGAACGGCCGGCTGCTTGTGCAAACAGTAACGGCGACATGCCTCGCGAAGCCCTACAGTGTCTCGGGCTGCGTAATTCGGTTTTAGGGAGCGGGGCTGCGGCAATCAATGTGAGATAGAGCCGTTGTCGTCATCTTGAGAATGTGTGTGTGTGTGTGTGTGTGAGTGTGTGGTGGTGGTGGTGGTTGGGGGTGGGGGGTGGATCTACTAGAAGGGTCCTCTTAAACTTGTGGCTCATCTCTGGCGCGCTCACAGCCATCCGCTTATGCGCGGACGCCGCCAGGACGCCGCCAGTCCCTGCGGACTGAACCCGCGAGAGGCGTTTTCGTCGTTCCGTCTCCCTCGCACTCATGGGACGTCCCATGTAGGAGCGAGAGAGACAGAGCGACGAAAAGGACTCTCGGAGTCAGTCTGCCGCTCTGCTCCCCATCCGGGCGGGGGCCATCCCTCCCTCCCCTGTGCCCCCGCCCCCTTTTCCTGACGCTTTTCTTGCCCGGAAAGTGCAATGAAGCGGCCCAATTTTCCCCAAATCATCCCCGGCGTGCCCCGGCGTGCCCGGCGAGTGGGAACGGAGCGCGCCATGGGGGCGTGGTGGCACCATGGTGGCATCGGGGAATCGACTGCGCAGATGAAGGGGGCGTCGTCGCCCCGAACCGGCCGGAACTCGCGCCTGCAGACGGACTCCGAGCCCTTTTCGCCGCTCGAAATCAACCTGCAGGTCCTTTCCTTTCCCTCCTTTGCTGAACGGTGCGTGCGCGGGACGGACACACGTCCTTAAGGACTTATCTCCAATCAGCGCTGGGTCAGGTGGAAAGGGGGAGGGGGGAGGGTTCGGCCCACCTCAGCATTTCAATGCGTCGGGGGCTTTGCTGGCTTTGCCTCACCGTGACGGCCCCGGACGGCCCCGGACGGCCCCGGACGGCCCCGGACGGCCCCGGACGGCCCCAGACGGCCCCGGCTCGAGTTTAGGGCTGATCCCGGCCGCGTGGCCTGCGTGCCCTGCGCCTCAAGCAGCGGCGGGCCCATTCCGCGTGGTCTTCTCTCTCTCTCTCGCACCTGTACGGGACGCCCCACGAGTGCGAGAGAGACAGAGCGACGACTCTCGGAAGCGGTCTGCAGGCGAACTCTCAAGGAGGCGGCTGGAGGGATGGCGTTTGCGGCCCCCGATTTCCGGTCGGCGACGGCAGTGGTTAGCAAAAGTTGGGAAGAAGGGGGTACGTATAGTGCACTGCAAACTTTGGCAATTGGGCGGCGACCCATTGCGCGGCTCGTTGGCGGGGAGAGGGAATTACCCCGAAGTCGGGGATGCAGCGGCGGAGTGCAGCGCAGTCAGTCGAGGGGTAACGACTTGGGTAACGCGGCTGACAGCGAGGAGGGCAGAAACTTGTTGTTGTTGAGGCGTTATTGTAATTGGTATTATTGTTGACAAGGCGGCGATTAGCGCCCCGTCCGTCTTGGCGTCTTGTCGACGCGTGTCCGGCACGCGTCCTTCCGCCGCATCCCGCATGCGAGGCACACGCGACGCGCCTAGCACGCACTCTCACGCCGCATGCCCACACTGTGAAAATAATCAACTCAAAAGATAAATAAGAATTGAAAGTGGAATGTGTTCTGTCATACGAATGCACCAAATCACGCACACACACTCACTCACTGTATTTGTACAATTTTGCACGTGGTGTCACTCAGTTTACAATATTTGACCTTTTTCGTACTAATCTGTACGCAGAACCCGCGTGCAAAAATTGTCCAAAGGAATAATGGAGTGTGCGCTGTACGCGAACGTTTGCTGGTCACTGACGCGTCCCTAAACCAAACCGACGCGCGTCGTGTCACTGGCATATCACGAGACCAGGCACGAGTCAGCCCCGCGGACCGCACCGGGCCGCTTCGGGGGGCCAAATCAGCCGCACTACTAATTACTAATGCAAAGCGAGCCGATCGCGGAGGTGGATCCGACTTAATTATGTAGGTGTTACACACGCACACACACAGGCACCAAGTTTGCGGCTTCTTGTAGGATCGCAAAACAGGCCCCCTCTGATTGGGGTTCGCGGTTTTCTCGAACCACGCCGCCACCACTTCCGAGAGGTAATCAATTGGTTTGCTCCGCCACTGCCAGAATTTTTGGGGGGAACGGGGCGGAAGGGGTTGGATTTTCACGCACTGTTTTTAACAGTGCTGTTTTGGTGATGCGCGCGACATTTCGGCGTGCCTTTTTCTTTTCCGCCATGCCGCGCGTTTCGATTTGGGCGATTCGATTCTATCTGGCAAACAGAGCAGGCAGGCGGGCATGGGGCTGCGCCCTCGCCAGGCCTCACCCCTCCCTGCACTCTCTCTCTCTCTCTCTCTCTCTCTCTCTCTCTCTCTCTCTCTCTCTCTCTCTCTCTCTCTCTCTCTCTCGCTTCAGGGGCGAGTCTGCCGTGCGTCATCCTCATTCTTGGGGACCGGTGCAGCCAGCACCCCTAGCTAGGCTAGGGCGTCCGTCTGTCTGTCTGTCTAGTGACTCACCCACCGCGAGCAGGGCCACAGCCACCAGCTCCAGCAGCGACCCGGCGTCGACGGGGAGGGGCTAGGCTGGCGCCAGGGCGAGCGCCAGGGCCTTGCCGGGGGCGGTCATCTGTCTCCGCCAAGACGGCCGAGACGGCGGCGCCCGGGACTCCGAGGGCTCCCTCCCCTCCCCTCCCCTCCCCTCCCCTCCGTCCCCATGTGTGCCACTCTGTACCCGTGCAATCGATGCACCCTGTTGAAGGAGTGAGTCATCGGGACTTCCCCCAGCCTCGGCCTGGGGGCGGCCCGGGGCGGCCCGGGGCGGCGGCGGAGGGAGGCTGCTGGAGCTACCCCAACACGACGTCCCCGGCGTGCCGATGCCCGTTTCCGTGCCAATCTATTTTAACGAACCCTGACGGCCGGACGCATGAGGGGAAGCGTGTGGTCGGCGGCGAGGGTCTCGGCGGCCTAGGCGGCCTCGGC